TTTGGGGGGTTTGTTTGGGGTTTTTAGGTTTTTTTTTTTTTTAGTATCTAGTGAAATGTTTGACATGACTTCACAAGGTAGTGTTTAACTTAATGGAGGGCTGGCAGCATTGGTGTGTTGTGTTTTAAAATGTAGGCACTTTTGTGTTATTTAGTTCACTTGCTAATAAAAAGTCTTCTGTATACAGTAATAATGTATAGTCTTATATAATATACATAAGATAAATGCTGCTGAAGAGCCACCCCTTAAGAAAACTACTAGAAAGGTATTTTGCATTAAAGTCATTCAGTTCCAAGTGGTTTGTGTTGAATTTCTGGCTCAGTACTGCGGCTTCAGCTGTAAAGTGTGTCCTCCCTTTCTTTGCCACGGTGTTGAGGTATTCACCTGGGAGGGGAGGGATGAGATTTGGAATTTCTTAATGCAGAAAAAGTTTGTCTGACTTTCTGCTCAGCTGTTTCAATCACTTCTGATCTATAAAATTAAGTATTATATTTTTCTTTATATTTTTGTTTTGATCTTATTTTTCTCCAGCTCTTATTTCAGAGAAATGGCAGATCTTTGCTTTTGCAAGAAAATGGTTAGAAGCTGACTTCCAGCAGGGTGCAGCGTTATTGGAGAGAGTATTTGTCCCTAGAACGCGGTGCCTGGATGCCAGAAATGGGTATTATTTTAAGCAGTGTTTCTTGTGGTAGTTGTAGATGACTCTCCAGTCAACAGTTTGCCTCCGGAATTCTGTCCTGAGTTATGTGAGGATATGGTTTCGTGTTACTGGTTTATCATGTAGTTGCCACTAAGCAGGTACTTCTGTTCCACCTTGCCCCAGACCAGTTTCTCCTTGTTGCTTTGCCTGTATCAAATCTAGTGGTCTTGCTGCTGTTTTTTTTTACCCAGTTCAGTTGATGTGGTGCAGAGAAAAAGAATAAAAACCCTTTCTGAATAAAACCTTTTACATGATGATTGTCAAGTTCATGGATACTCTTAAGCTGTTGTAACAGCAGTGTGTGAAGAGCTGTTACACCTGAAGACTGTGTGTAGTATCCATTCGTGTGTAATTTGGGGGCCCTCTGGAATGATCTGATGTGTATCGGAAGTTTGAAAACATTGCCAGTTTCTCTTATTTGGAAAGGCTTATTAGTGTTCAACTGGAAATTTAAGATTAGATCTAGTAACTAAATCCCCAAAGCACGTAGGTGATAAATGGAGAAAGAGAAATTTGTCAGTGATTGTGCGGGAGAGAAAACGAGAAAAAAGATGTAATCAGCCAAAACCAGGGGAAAAATGTAAATGTTGAGCAGTGTGTTTCACTCTCTGACTTATGAATTATTTCACATAACAGAGAATGAATAAAAATAGAGATTTTTGTTGGTGTTCTGAATGTGAGGTAAAAAAAGCCTATATTGAAAATGTTTATTTCTGGAGCATATGAGTTAGGTGAATGTTGGCATTGAAATAGAGAAAGTAAAACTTACTGGTAATAGAGATGATCCTAACCAAGTTTCCCTTTCAGGGAAAGAATATGTCTTTCTATGTAGTAGATCTAGCTTGATTGTCACTTTGGATGTTTTCTTCTATTGTTGTGATAGGGCTAGCACTGAAGAGAGCAGAGCTGAGGATACTAGTGCTGCCTTTCTCCAGTCTGTAACCTTATCTGTGAAACACATATTCATGACATGGGACAGAATTTTGTGGGCTGTTGTTTTTTATGGAAATGGGAATTGAGGCTCTCTTTGCAAGAAAGGGGCCAGTGAGCAAAATCAAGTGTTTGGTGTACTAAAGTTTATTTACAGTTTCAGGAAACTTCAGTTCCTTAAGAGTTGATTGAACTGCTTAGGGGAAAAAAAATGCAGTAGCTGTGTTGTTACCCTCATTCTTGGATTGTATTGTCTTAGAGACTTAGAAGTGTGTGTGGCCATGTTTTTGAACTTTATTGAATTGTGAAAAATAAGCATTTGGTATTAGTCCTTGCAGTACATAAACCAACAAAAAACCTCAACAAAAACCCAACCAACCAAAGAAAGAAACAAAAAGAAACCAAAAAAAATCAACCCCAAGAAACCAAACACTAAACAAAAACCAGACACAAAGTCCAGACAAACAGGTCTTTCCCCCTCCCCCCAAAAAATCACCCACAGCTGAAAAACATATAAATCTTTCAGCCTCAGTTGGTTTTTTATTTAACTTTGACTTTGGTAATGTTTATGGTAAATACAGTTTGGCAAGGTATAGCTACAAATTGTGTTTAGAGTTCCTGTGTGACCAAAGTCACCTTCTGAGACAAAAGTACCTATTCGATGATTCTAATTTACTATTTGAGTGTAATTGAAACCAAAGTGCATGACTTCAGCAGAGGCAGTGGCTTATGGTAAAATTATCAACTCAGCCACCTATAGACAAAACTATATTCCCAGAAACTGTAATATTCAAATTCAGAAGTCTTCAAAATCTTAATTTCTCATTTTTTCTTTCCAAATAATTTCTCTTCTAGAGTTAATTTTTCTATGTGCATGCACAAAGATTTTATTATCCTGTGAAGCTAATAAGAAAACCAGACCCTAGCTTCTTTCACATAAATTATAAGCTTTTTTTTTTTATTTGTTTGAAAAATCTTTAACTGTTTTAAGGATACATAAAATAAATTTGCTTTCAGTTTTTAGAAGATTAAAATCAACCTAATTGTCTTAAATGTCAGCATCACTGAAAAAAGGTCAAAGGTGTTGATTCTCTCCCAACCCCCATAATTCATCAGAACTAAATTTGCACTGAAGTTGTTGGGAATTGTTTTTATTATCCATCTTAACTAAAATATTTGTTCTTTCTGAAGGAATGTTTCTTTGAGGTGTGAAATTTCTTTCTCAAAAGTACAGAGACAGCCTCTGAAGTTAATGGCTTATAATGATTATGGGGCAATAACAGTATTTTGAGAGTAGAATTTTGAGAATAGAGCATCTATTGACAGATAATTAACACTTTACCAACAAGTTTTTTGTGCCAAAATATTAAAGATGCAAGATTGTTTCTTTGCCTAGTATTTGAGTATTGTTTGAAAAGTGGTCTTAATGTGTTAGCTGCATGGAGTAGCTTAATTTTGATTTATTTGTTAAGCAGGGGGGTTTACTAGGGGACATTAACTCCTCCGGAGAGACTGGTATCGGGAGGGAAACTTCTATTTTCTTTGAACTGTCATAACTTCACCATTTCACCCTGCTGCATCTCGTGGTTGAGAAAGAAGGGCAGAAACAACTCTGAATTGCCTTTTTATATTTGTTTTACTAAGCTTGTCATGGCTTTGAAAGTTCCTTGTGGAAACCATTTTCTCAGGGAAGAATGCACCCAGGGCATTGTGTCTGCATGCCATGGAGAAGGAGGTGGTTTGTTGCAACAGCAGCTCTTGCTTCAGTAATATACCTTTCATATTTACAACAAAGACAAAACACAAAGGAGTGCTATTTCCTGGAAGAAAGCGTGAGAGGCTGTGATAATGCAATCAGTTAGTAGATTTTGAAAGCAACACATCACTTTTGTGACCCATCTTGTGAGCGTTTCTTTGTTTGCTGAATGTACTCAGTAACATCATGTGTGATGGCTCATCTCCTTTCCAGAGGATATTGTATGTCCAGGTCTTTAATTTAGTTTTTTTCTCTCTCTTTTTTTTTTTAACATTTGTTGCAAGTGTTATATTGGTTCCATAGTGAGTGATATTTATTTAGCCAAATGAAGATTAAAAAGATGAAAATTCTGAAGTCTTTTAGGATTTCTTGCATGTTATATTAGCATGGGTCATTAAATTGGTCACTAACTGTATCTGTTAGGAAATGTAACTCTTGTTCTTCTGAGGTTAAGTAGCAAATTTTGTGTGTTGTTTCAGTTGTCAGAAATCTTGGGGAGCATTAGAAACACAACTTTTGAAAATGTATTTGACTAATGAATCGCTCTTTCATTTTTTCCCCAGCAGGTTCGATCTGTGGATGAGATGAATCATGAGTTTCAAGCTCTTGCCCTAGAATCTCGGGGAATGGGAGAGGTAATTATTGACAGCTGAAAATGCAGTTGGTTGCAAAAGTTGATAAAAATTAAGAAGTCTTAAATAATATGATGTGAATCAAAGGTCTTCTCTTAAGACCAAATTGGTTTTTCAGGCAGGTGAAGATTTCTGTGAAGATAAACTAATTACTTTGAAGAGCTTTGGTATGGTTGTTCACTGGATCTGCTGCGGTACTGTGTCAGTCTGATTTTATGACTGATACTCTTGGGGAAGTGACAGTAATTTATTTGAAAGTTTGTGCAGTTCTCTGAAATGGGACGTTCTCATTGTCACCGTATCTAGGCTAGTGAAACAGCTGCTTACTACCTCTGAGAAGCTAGAGACTGGGATTTGAGAAAAGTCTGACTCCAGAAAAAGTGCAGCTGGCATACCCTAGCAGAAATGTGTGGTTATTTACTGGTAATTTTGCTGCTAATTACTCCTTAAAAGAAAATATTTAACCACGGTGAAGACTGCTATTATATAATTTAGCTATAGGGAAGAAGGACTTACTCGTTTGGTTTCTTGGTTTTGGGATTTTTTATACAGCCAGTCTACTTGGAGGGATCAGGGAGGATGACTTGGCTCCTTCAAATGTAGTTCCGGGAACTGTTGAGAAAGTAATCAATGTGCATTAGGGTTACTTGCCCTGACAGGACATGCTAATAAAATAAATTCACATTGAACATTTTAGATTGGATATAAGGAAGAAGTTCTTTGCTGTAAGGGTGGTGGGCCACTGGAATGGGTTGCCCAGGGAAGTTGTGAATGCTCCATCCCTGGTGGTGTTCAAGGCCAGGTTGAACAGAGCCTTGGGTGACATGGTTTAGTGGAAGGTGTGCCTACCCATGGCAGGGGGGTTGGAACTAGATGTTCTTAAGGTCCTTTCCAACCCTAACTATTTTACGATTCTGTGAACTAAGATTTCAAATGATGATCATTTTGTCCTGCCTGGTATTTGCCTAATTCAGTTGACAGTTGAACCAGTGACAATATTTCAGCTTAACTTTCTTAAAATGATAGGACCATGATCTTTATGGAAACCATAACTTACTGTTAAAAATTAAATGCCGTGTTCTAGTGACTGAATGTTTCTGGGCTGGTGCATGGCTATTGATTTTTTTACTGCAGTGAAGCATTTAACTAGTCAGTTGGCTTTTCAGCAATTTTTACTTCATCCAGAGTTCCATGTCTGTCTTTAACTATCTGCATTTGAAGAAGCACTAATAGATGAAGGCATGTTATTCTGAAAGCCAAGTAGCTACATGGGATGTGCTTGCTTCTTCCTGTCCACCCCATCCCCCCCACCTCTAAAAACCTTTGAGAAGTAAAGGTGTTAGTAAGGTATGTGGGATAATACCAACAGTTGTGATAGAGCGGATGGGTAAAATTCTTACTGGTGGTTGTTCTTTTGTCACCTGTAAAGTACTCTGAAAGATTGAAGGCAGAGAAAGTGAAGGTTGGCACAAATGCCTGGTTATTAAATTGAGGTATATGTGACTGCTCATACAGATCTCAGGTTGAGGGACATATTTCTGCATGGTTATGATTTTATTTGTTTTCATGGTATTCTGTGGATCTGTGAAGATGCTTAAAAAACAACAAAAAACAACAAAAAAGCAGTAGAAATTCAAAATCCAAACCCCCCTACATGCAAGAATCCAGAGTTCTGCTACAGTGCTGTAGCATCAGAAATTGATATATCGTGACCCTGCACTTACTCAGTTATTATGACTTTGATTATTACCTCAGGTTATTATGACTTTGATTTCAACACTTTCTTATAGGTATCTTGGGGTAATAGAGTTTCACACAGCTAGGCTGAGTAAGTCAGTAATTTTCTTACTATATTGCACAACAGTAAAGTAGCTCTGCAATAACCTTCTTTTTTATTATAACCTTCAAAATATTATGAGAAGTGTCTCATAAATACCCTTGTAAGCTAGGACTGTAGTATGTGTATGTTCTTAGGTGCTGCCCTCTGTCTACTTTGACAGGTGTGAAAGGGAGGTCATGCCAAGTGATCTGCTTCTAGCTATTGGGAGGTTGTTCTCTTCCTCATTTTCTCTATCTGGATAGATTTTATTCCAAACTGAAAATGATTTCTTGTTCATAATTCTAATCCTTCTTTGTCTTTTTTTTTTTTTTTTTCTTCCCCATCTGGGAATCAGTACTTGGCATTAGGAGGCTGTTAAGTCTTGATTTTCACATCATTACTAAAATCAAGACTGTCTGTGAATCCTGAGCAAGTATTGCTTCCATGTGCTAATGTAAAGTAATATAGTACAAAATCTGTTTTCATTATATTTTAACACATTTTGGAAATAATGCATACTGGAGATCCTTCTGTTAAGCAGTCCATCTGAACTGCATTCAGATGGAGCGTGGTCTCAAACACTATCAGGACAGCATAATGTGAGTCAGTTGTACTGTTTCCTTGATCTGTTTATGTCTTGCAATTCTTTGTTAATTTATTCTGTAAAGAAGCAGTAGAGTTTTATTAGCAAGAGATCTGCGGATTGCAGGCATCCTTCACTAAATGTCCTCTGAATTTTTAGCTCTTAGATTTAGCTCTAAGAGCTAAAAATTATACACAGATAATGCGTCTGGCTTCAGCTCCCAAAAGCTAGCGTGACCCTTAAGTTCATGATAATACTCTGAAGAAATAACAACACATGGTGCTGTTTCTCTTCTCAGGCTTATATAAAACTTTCTGCCAAACAGGATATAAATAAAAATATTTTTTGATAATGTCTATTCGTATAGTAACTTAAGAGGGTCAAAGCACACAATGATTTCATTTTAGGGATAGTGTATACATTTCTGGTGTCAAAACTTCATTCAGAGAAATCATAGAAGGCTCTGTAGGATTAACTTCTGATCCTAAAAATTAAAAAAATAATTCAAGACCCAGTAATTGAGACTGTGCAGTTACTTATCAGCGAGCTGGTTAAGAGGCAGCTTTAGCATGATTGGTTATTATCTCTGTGTAGAAAAGGGCTTTATTTCATCTGCCAGAGACCTGACAGGGATCAGTGTTGATACTAAAAAAGACACTTTTAGTGTACTGTTAGAAGATCTTTGTAAGAAATAAGGCAATCTTTTCCATTATTTTGAATTAGAATCGGATGTGTCTTTGTGAGGTTTCTTTTTGTTTTGGGTTAAATGCAGGAAATGTTGAGCATAATGCATATTATCAAAGCATGAAGATTTTAGCTACTTGGGTTAATTTGCGATGATTTCTTGATGAAGTCTTTTACAGTAAAACTAATCAAGTGGGCTTTTTTTTTTCTGGTCTGTTAAAGAGGAACACACTTGTTTTGGTTTTCTGAAAAGTACTCTTTTTTTTGAGTTCCATCATTAAGAAGTTGATAGCTGATAGGACTGCTGATTTACATGGCAGTCCAATAGTTTAAACATCCCTTTAAAAAAAGCATCATATATGTCATATCCATCATCTGTCCAAAAAACACCAAAGTAAATGTAAACCACTGGCCTTTGGAGGTGCCAAATTATAAACTTTAGGAAAAATCCATTCATTTAAATACATGAAGGACTTCTCTTACGTAGCATCTTTAACACAAGCCTTTCTGTAAATCTGTTTCATCTTCAATAGGATACAGTTTAGTCTTGTGAAGTATAGATGATGCAGTATGTTTTGTCTTAAAGATACTGTATATTCTTTGTGTACCAGTGTACATGAAGACTGCAAGCAGTTGAATATATCTGAAATTTGAAAGCATGCATATTTGTGTATTATTTCTAACATTGTGTTGCCTGGACACCCGATAGTGGAATTTATTAATTTCAGGCTAAGCACACTTTAAGGTAATGCTCATGTTATGACTCCCAGGATATTAATACATCTGTTTTATTCTGGCATGGTTGTGTTAGGTTGTGACACCTTCGCTTCTGTATTTCTTACACGTCTTAGCTGGACACACATTTGAGCTTGTGTTAAGACTGAATTTAGAATAAAATGTGATTCTCTTTCTCAAAACCAAGGTTTCATAGATACTAAATGCTTGCATTCTGTTCTACCACTATCCTATAAAATGAAAAATAAATAGTACTGTAAACTTGTTACAGGATAAAGCTAAAAAGGATGAGTAGAGTGCATAGACTGATCTGAAATTTATAATCTTTTGCTTTTAGTTGAACAGTGGTTGTAAGATTCCATGAATCTATTTTCTGTGTCCTCTGACAGCTAACTTCATCCTTTAAATTCAGGGTAAACTTAATATCCTTGTGCTCCCGAAGTGAGCTTGGTTGACACCTAGTAATGATTCTGCCATGCATTGACAAAGTGGGTATCTCAGCTGTGGCAGGTTCTAGCAGTGTAGTGCTCTTGCAAGTCTAATACTCTTCTATAGTTTTGTTGAGCGTTGGCTGTATCACCCTCCACCTGTGGCATTTCACAGGGACTCAAGTTGATGCAGAGACTCAAATCCTCGTTTATTATCACCGAGCCCTTTTTATCCCCTTGTTCGGTACTTTCCCAACCTGCATATACATACAACGTTCAGTCTTGTTGGCCACTGTGAAACTCTCCAGGTAAATAGTCCAATCATAATGTTGCAGACCCTCTCACAGCCCCCGCATTGTCTGGCCTTCAAGGCTGCAACTCATTGCCCCAGGGCTTGTCAAATCACCAAGGCCTCAGAGCTCATTCCTGAACTCTTTTTCATGCAAATCTCACTGCCTTCAATCCCCACATCCACCCTGAGTCCTGTTCTAATGAATGTAAGGACCCCATGGATGTCTGTAGGTTAGGCAGCCAAAATACTTCTGGTAAGAGCTCTTGGCAGCACAGAGAAACAATTGTCAATCCTTAAGTTATTCCAGAGAAGTTTTTGCCACCCCTGTTTCAGTGTTTTAATATTGGGGCCTGGCAGTTTTACTCTCTTCTTGAAGCTGTTTTCATGAGCTCTTTCAGTGCTACACTAAAACACCTAAAAAAAGTACTCTTGTTACGAGTTTCATCAAGGCTTATACTAAGCATCTGTGAGGTTCAGAAGAGGTTTTTTTTTAGTCATTCAAGTAGCAAGAGAATCAAAGCTCCACTACATAGTTTTGTATTGCAAACAAAGAATTATCAGGTTATGTTTTTTTTCTAAATTTAAAAGATTTTGAATTGAACATTAAATTTTGCAAAACCTGATGGATTACAGTGCCACTGTCCATATATTTTTTTTTTCCTTTTGCATGTTGCTTTCACTGTAGTTTCAGTTTCAGACCTTGTGAATTATGTAATATCTAGTATGAGAATACAGGCCTTTAGTTACATATTGAAGAGAAAATGCAATATGCCGTTTGGCAGTTTCACGGTTACCAGTTGGAAAAGCTAGAGGAATAAAGTAAAAGCTCTAAAACAGAAGTAAAAAGAACGTTGGCATTTGAGGTCTTTTTTTGCTTGTGCAGTGCTTCTGTCAAGTAACATGTCTTCTCAAGGACATTACAGTACTGTCTAGTGGTACAGGTGGTACTAGTCTAGCTTTAAACTTTCTGCTTTATAAATTGTACAGCTAAATGGAATCGTTGGTATGTGGAAATTCAGATTTGAATGTCACAAATCTGTAACCAGCAGATCCCTGTGGTCTAAAGGTGACTTGACACCATGTCCTAAAATTTGGAACATGGTGCATTTCTAAGGGAACAGAACTTTACAAAGAATTGCTGCTGTTTCTGATTATGATAGCAGTAGTTAAAGGCCAAGCTTTTGAATGTGTGTGGGAAGAAGGCAGTGTTGGTTAAAGTTTGAGAGGATTGACATGGTTTAACACAGGGATTAATTTGATCATTTTTTTTCCAGCGGCTTCTGTATTTTTCATCTCTTGGTCATGACTTCAGAATCTCAGTCTTCTTAGGGTCATTTAAGCAATTTCTTTATACAATATCAGCTTCAGTAACAGAACTCTTGTTTATTCCTTGACAGCATGTGCTTCCTTATGTACAGCTGACTTTGTTATCTCATATTAATTACTTGCATATCATAGAATCATAGAATACTTAGGGTTGGAAGGGACCTTAAGATAATCTAGTTCCAACCCCCCTGCCATGGGCAGGGACACCTCACACTAAACCATATCACCCAAGGCTTTTTCCAACCTGGCCTTGAACACAGCCAGGGATGAAGCATTCACAACTTCCCTGGGCAACCCACTCCAGTGCCTCACCACCCTCACAGTAAAGAACTTCCTCCTTATATCCAATCTAAACTTCCCCTATTTAAGTTTTAACCCATTACCCCTTGTTCTGTCACTACAGTCCCTAATGCAGAGTCCCCTCCCCAGCATCCTTATAGGCCCCCTTCAGATACTGGAAGACTGCTATGAGGTCTCCACGCAGCCTTCTCCAGGCTCAACAGCCCCAACTTTCTCAGCCTGTCTTCGTGTGGGAGGTGCTCCAGTCCCCTGATCATCCTTGTGGCCCTCCTCTGGACTTGTTCCAACAGTTCCATGTCCATTTTACTTTGAGGACACCAGAACTGTACACAGTACTCCAAGTGAGGTCTCACAAGAGCAGTGAAGAGGGGCAGGATCACCCTCTTCGAGCTGCTGGTCACGCTCCTTTTGATGCAGCCAAGGATCTGGTTGGCTTTCTGGGCTGCGAGTGTACAGTGCTGGCTCATGTTAAGTATGTCATGTGGGACAGTGTTGAACGCTTTGCACAAATCCAGGTAGATGGCATCAGCTGCTCTATGCCTGTCCATCAGTTTTGTAGCGCCATCATAGAAGGCCACCAAATTGGTCAGGCAGTATTTCCCTTTAGTGAAGCCATGCTGGCTGTCACCAAGCACCTTGTTGATTTTCATGTGCCTTAGCATGCCTTCCAGGAGAATCTGCTCCAAGATTTTGCCAGGCACAGAGGTGAGACTGATTGGTCTGTAGTTCCTTGGGTCATCTATTTTCCCCTTCTTGAAAATGGGGGTTATATTTCCCTTTTTCCACTTGTCAGGAACTTCACCAGACTGCCATGATTTTTCAAATATGATGGACAGTGACTTAGCAACTTCATTTGCCAGCTCCTTCAGGACCTGTGGATGGATTTCATCAGGTCTCATGTACGTTTAAGTTTTTAAGATGGTCTGGAACCAGATCCTCTCTTACAGAGGGCCTAAGGTCTTCATTCTTACAGTCCCTGTGTCTTCCTTCCATGACTTGGGTGTTGTGGTCAGTGTTTGCCAGTGAAGACTGAGGCAAAGAAGTCATTCAGAATCTCAGCTTTCTCCAAATCCAGTGTAGCCAGTTCTCCTGATAGCTTCTGTAGAGGGACCACGTTATCCCTAGTCTGTCTTTTATTTGCTATGTACCTATAGAATCCCTTCCTGTTATCTTTCACATCCCTAGCCAAGTTTAATTCTAACTGGGCCTTAGCTTTCCTAACCTGGTCCCTAGCTTCCCAGACAGCATCCCTGTATTCTTCCTAGGCCGCCTGTCCTTGCTTCCACCTTTTATAAGCCTTTTTTTTCCCCTCTGAGTTTCCTCAGTAGCTCCTTATTCATCCAAGGAGGTCTCCTGGTCCTCCTCCTGCTGCATTTCCTTCTAGTAGGGACACAACACTCCTGAGTTTGCAATAGGTGATCCTTGAATATCAACCAACAGTCTTGTGCCCCCTGCCCACTAGGGCTATATCCCATGGAACCTTACTAAGCAGGCTCCTGAAGAGGCCGTATTCTGCTCTCTTGAAGTCCAGGGCTGTGAGCTTGCTGCACACTCTTCTCACTGCCCTGAGGATCTCGAATTCGACCATCTCGTGATCACTGCAACCAAGGCTGCCCTGGAGAGTCACGTTTCCAACGAGCCCTTCCCTGTCGGTGAGCACGAGGTCAAGCATGGCACCTTTCCTTGTCAGCTGCTCGATTACTTGCAGAAGGAAATTGTCTTCCACACAATCAAGGAACCTCCTGGATTGCTTGTGCTAGGCCGTACCATCACTCCAACAGGTATCAGGGTGGTTGAAGTCTCCCATGAGGACAAGAGCCTGCGAGTGTGAGGTTGTTCCTATCTGCCTATACAGCGCTTCATCCACAGATTCCTCTTGATCAGGCAGTCTGTAACAGATCCCCAGGCTATTAAATCCCCACTTAATCCCCAGGATTAAGTTCCTCTCCAGCAGATATCCTCTTAATAAGCATATTTTAAATAAAACTATTTTCTCTTTTGGAACAGCTTTTACCTGCCAAAAAGTTTTGGGAACCTGATGATTCAGCAAAAGATGGACAAAAAGGGATATTCCTTGGTGATGAGTGGAGAGAGACTGCATGGGGAACTCCTCGTAAGTGACGGATGCATAGGTTTTGAAAAATGAGTCATGTTTGGTAACTTCTTTCAGAGTAAATTAATATTATACGTTTTAATTTGTGTATTAAATTTTATTTTCCTTTAATTTTCATTATGAAAATGTATATTGCAGTGGTGCTTGAGTGCCAACAACACTTTTTGAAACCCGGGTTTGGAATTTATTTTATTTAATTTTGGTCTTAGTATTGGTTTAATATTGCAAAAACATTACAAGTTGTATTTAAGAAATACAATAGTTTAATGTATTTATTTGTTTTTAACAGACCATTCTATGTCCCAGCCTATTATGGTACAGAGGAAGCCTGGACAGGGTTTTCATGGAAACAGTGAAGTAAATGCTGTATTGTCTCCAAGATCAGAAAGTGGTGGCCTTGGAGTGAGCATGGTAGAATATGTGTTAAGTTCCTCTCCAGCTGATAAATTGGATTCCCGGTTTAGGAAAGGAGCTTTTGTAAGTAATGCAGTGTGTTAAGCTTGTCTGTTATGTCCTTACTGTCTTATATGGTTTTATTTTCTACTCTGTCCATTTATCTTTCTAAACTCTTCTCTTCAGAAGGAAGTGTGTATTCACTGTCTTTCTTCCTTGGTTGGAGAGGGCAGAAGAGGGAAGTGGTTTGGGAATTTTGACTGAATAGCTGTCTTTAAAAAAGTTTTTTCTTAACACCTTTAAATGAAGGAAAAAAGCTGCAAATAGCTTAATTTAAAATGTGTAATGGGCTTTATTGTAGATCTTTCTATTCTGTGTTTCTGTGCGGGTTTGTTGTGTACTAAATGTTTTAACTGTATAAAGTGTATCAAATTCGAAGTGTTACTGCTTTAACAGAACCGCTATAGTTAAGGTTGAGTTAGCTCTTCCATTATAAATCTTGGCATTCCTTTTCACATTTTGGCAGTTACTAATTGCATGTGGTTGAAACTTGATGATCAAGTTACCCACCAAATGCAATTCCATTGAAAAGAAAGTGGTTTTTATTGTTTACATGCACTGTAGTGTAGAATTAGGTCACCTTGTGGTGCTCCTATTGTATTCTGTTCAATATTCAGAATCAAACAGATTCTTTTTCCTCAGGGCACTAGAGATGCTGAAACAGATGGACCTGAGAAAGGAGATCAGAAAGGCAAGGCTTCCCCATTTGAGGAGGACAAAAACAGAGATCTTAAACAAGGAGATGATGAGGATGTTACTAAAATAAATGGCAGAGGTTTACCAAATGGAATGGATGCCGATTGCAAAGATTTTAAGTAAGCTTTCAACTGTTTCTCAAGAAGACAAGCATGTCTCTTAAGGGCATTATTACAGTTCTGGTTTATGTGTCAGCTTTAAACGTTACCCAGCTGCAGAGTGATTCTTCCTACCCCATATCCTCCCCTTCCCACTGTGCCACATGTTTCTTAGGATTGTCATTAATGTATGTGTTACTTCTCATGAGACAAATTCATCTTAATATGCTAATTATTCAAATATGGGTACCTTTAAAATGTGATGAATTAAAAAGGGATGAAAACTTTAACTGTTTTTATTTCAAACTAAATTCCTTTCTCTCTGCTTCTTCTTAATACTCCTAACTTTTGCATCTGATTGTTGTTGTAGAGAGCAAGTCCTTGAGAATTTTAGTTTTCGTTCTAATTTTGCTTGTGGTTGCCATAGCCTAACACAATTATTTCCCCACAAAAGTGCTTACAGAAACCATTTAATTGACTAAGGAGAAACAATGTATTTCCCTGTTCGTATAGTTAAATGTCACCTATTCACAGTACAGAATGGTGGTGTGGTTTGGTGGTTTGCTTAGGGAAAAAAAAATTGCATCAAGCTCAAGCTTTTGAACTGTGAATTCCTATATGACAGCTATATTCCTATATAGTACAGCTAGCCTATTTTTTCCTAATAGTAAGCTGCTTTTTAAATTGGGTATTTTTAAAGGACTAATCTTTGGTTTTAAATGACTGTGATGCATTTGTAACTGTCACACAGAAGAATTAGCAAGATTGGAAAACTAGACTGTTCATGAATTTGTGTTAGCTTGATGAACATGACTGAATAGTTGTGGTTTCATTACTTCATAACTGAACAAGTATACTAAAATGCATGTTTGAATTCCATATGTAAGTATTTCCTACCCTTTAAAAAATGTATTTACCTGGGGCTAAGGAGGGATTCTTCAGGTCTGTTTTTCAGGACATATTATTGAAAAGAGTATAGTACCAAAGAGTTAAGAGAGCTCAAGTTAGCTCCTTTCGGATGCACGCTGCAGTGTGCACAATAAACAAAGTTACCTTCAATATTACATGTAGAAAATGCAGAATAAATTTTGTCCTGCTTTTCTTTACCAGTATCTATTTCAGTCTTGAAATAGTTGCTTGCAAAGCACCTTACATATTATTTAAATAGATAAATTATTAAAAAGAACAGACAGGTGCAAAAAAGCATCCAAAGCCAGTAAAACTCTCTCTCTCAAAAAAAAAAGTCCATCTAATTTAAATGAGCCATATAAAGTGGTGGTACAAACCCTCCAAACAGAGGTTTATAATTGAAGTATTGACACAACTTTAACTATAGCAACAGAACAGCACCATTATAAGGAGCAACCTATATTAGGTAAACATAAGTATTAACAAAGAAACTTTGTCCTGTCCTCCTCTTTGTATTTTTATTGTACTTACAGCTTTTTTTTTTTTTAAAACTAAAATAGGTACTGAAATAACTGCCTTTTTTTCCTATTGTTCTTCACTTTGATGATGCTGTATGTCACCTGGGAAGAATAAAGAATATTAAATGGCTTCAAACTCAAGTTTGTACATTGAGCAAGATATAATTGGTAGCTAGGATACTGAGGTGGTGGCCAATGTTATAGATGTTAGTCATGAAGTTGGTTGTTATATTTAAAAAAAATATAGTGCAAGTGCTTCATCTCTAGTATTTTGTCAAAAGTAATAGATTATTACTTGTATTAATAGTAATACCGTATTGTTGAATAAACTCACTAAGAGAGTGCTTTCTAGCTATACAGTTAGAGTTGGTATCAGCAAATACATTAGTACTGACAGATTTCTTTTCATACATCTTGTGCGTCAGTGTGAAACAGATATTTCAACTTTGGGGCCCTGAAGAGGGAGGAGCAGAACAAGTAGTACTAAGGCTTTGTCTCTGTCCTAGAATTAGCAGGATACCATACTGGTCTGGCAGTGTACTGCTGGGATAAGCGTAGTTTCATCCTGCAAGATGGCATTTTGTATCTGAGCCCAGATTTCATAATTAAAGCAAACTTCACTGGAAGTTGTATGTTTCCTGAAAAACAATATATAATTATCAAGTTCTGCCAACACAATAATGCTGTTAAGGGAGCATAGATTCTCTAGCACAACTCCTTATAATAGCTGATTCTAGATTTTTGCCAGTAAAAATTGGTTGTCTAAGCAATTTGGCCTGACACAGACATTGGGGTACCACTCAAAATTAAGGTACTGTAAATCTAACCAAATACAGGGTTGGGAATCTCTTTAGGATGTGAATCTGTTGACCTCTCACTTCAAGTGTTTGCTGGTAGGTCTTCATAGGTGCACAGGAATTCCCGTGTAGTCAGTGGGGATGTAGTCAGTACAGATGGTGGTTGATGAGAAGATACTTCAGGTTTAACTCAAAGTAAACTTATAGTGACTGCTCAGTTGAGTTGCTTTCTGGGCTCTTGTTAATGCTGTTGACTGGGTTTTCTTGTCCTCTGATGGGAATTTAAACACTAGTGCACCTAGTATTTGAATGTAAGTGTGGTGTAAGTGTAGCTGTCTGCATCTCAGCTGCCACCAGTGCTTCATACTTGGAAACTGAATTTTCAGGGATTTGGCATAGTAAGTCATGTCCAGCTTCGCATCTCTGTCTCACTGCCAACAGGAACCCTGTCTCCTGCTGCCAGCAGAAACCAAACACGCATGTTTTGCTTACGCCTAAAGATTCTTTCCTGCAACAAGAGGCTGTATTTATTCTTAGGGAAACTGAGAGGAAATCAGTGGAATTGTATTGGGAACACTCCCCCCCGCCCCCCCCCCCCCGCCCATTCATGTGGTGTAGTGTAGTCTACTAAGTGAGATGTGTAGGAAATTAAATGTTTTAGTCAAATGCTAAATGAGGCAATTAGGAATCCATTTTACTTAAGGTAAAAAAATACATTGTTTCGTTCAAGATATGAAAGATACTTGCTATATTGTATGTTTGTCTTTTCCAGTTGAATTTTTATTGTCTGTCTCTCTCTGCTTTGGCATGAGGTGCACATAGCCATTTCTTTTTTTCTTTTCTTAAATTTCTCTTCAATACATTTTCTAATAATTCCTTTCGCTCCCAAATGCAATAAAGAGCCATCCCCAAAAGTTAAAGGTGACCATAGTCCACTCTACATCACTCAAAACAGCCTCAAATATGATTTTTTCTCCAGTGATTTGAAGATCTGTATAGTTTTAAAGTTTCAAAAATAATAAATAAAATTGTGCTTTGAAGTGAAATGTGTCCTTTCTCTTGAGCCACTGATGCATGTTGTTTAAAATTGTTAAAATTGGTCTGTAGCTTCCGTTTTGAAGTCTGAGTTCTTTTTTAAAATACAGATGCTGTACTCTGTCCATGGACAGCTTTATTTAACACTGAAGAGTTTCTTCAATTTCTTCTAAACAGTCGTACCCCTGGAAGTCGACAGGCCTCCCCAACAGAAGTAGCTGAACGCTTGGGCCCCAATCCTGGCACCACAGAAGGATTAGGTCCACTTCCCAATCCGACAGCTCACAAGCCTCTGGTGGAAGAATTTTCAAATCCAGAAAATCAGAATCTAGATGCCATGGAACAAGTTGGTCTTGATTCTCTACAGTTTGACTATCCTGGCAATCAGGTACAAATGGACTCTTCAGGAGCTACTGTAGGACTTTTTGACTATAGTTCTCAGCAGCAGGTTAGTAATGGAATTGAAAACGTGCCGAATTGATCCTTTAAGCTGTGCATTATCCTCTTTGATAACCAGCTATTTAAGCATATAATGCATTTAATTGTTTTGTCTGTGACTTAGTCAAAGGCATATCAATGTATATTTAATCTAGAAGTATACTGGTGCATGAATTTCTGGTTTAGTAATTTATTAGGATAGAAGCTTGGTTTAAAATACTTTTTTGTAAGTAAATCCCAGTATATTATAGCCCTGACTTTTGAAAACTGAAAATCATCTTTTTTCTTTTCCAATAGCTTTTCCAGAGGACTAATGCTCTGACTGTCCAGCAGTTAACAGCAGCCCAGCAGCAGCAGTACGCACTGGCTGCAGCTCAGCAGCCGCACATAGGTGAGGTTTTTGTAAAGTACACCAGGCATCCCTGGCAAAAGTGGGATTTTGAAATCAAAAAAGAATGTTAATTCATTCTTCCTTGTTAATGGCACCTTTTAAAGAGGTGGCTCTTTATTCTTGCAGGTGCCTTTCTTTGTGATGGAATTAATTCTCCAGCAAGCGTGTTGTTTTTTTTTCTGTCCCTTTAAAGCAATTCAGTGTATTAATTGGATGCATAAAGTTTTTAGTGTACTGGCAACTCAACAAGGAGGCAGAAGGGTCAGCAGCTACAGCTGGGGTTTAAAAGTGGCAGGTCTTTAGTGTTATACAGCTGACTCATACAGCCTTTCAGCTGGGAGCATGGCAAATTGAGATATTTGTGGGATCCCCAGTTCTTATCTTCTGTCTGCCTTTGACTTCTGAGCTGCAAAGAAGCCCCTGCTTTATACAGTGCTGAATGAGGAGTCAGCTGTGTCTTGCGCCTTGCAAATGCAGCCTCTTCTGATACTCATTAACTGAAGTTTAGCAAGAAGCCTCCTATTCAGAAGGAGGAACATAGTTTGATGTGCCATGCTTGCTGCACTAGTTGCTGCCTCAGTGTTGGAAAAAATACATGAACCTGCCTGACTGGAGAAACTGGTAGGAATGTTTTGTTTGCATTCTCCTTCCATTACAGTCCTTATATCAAATTTGGATTCTCGAAAGTAAGATTAGCATCTCATAACTGGCTGTTTAAAAGCCAGGTGTTTGATTTAAACTATCTGGTTAGATTTTTTTAGATTTTTTTTTTTTTTTTTTCCCCTCAAGGAAAAGAGATTTGTATCTCTAGCAGGTGCTTCATTCTTCCTGGCTGATTCACCTAAGACACTAGATGATTTGTCTGATAGAGTTTTGTTGCAAGACTAGTGTAACTTTTAGATAGTTAAAGGTGGGCAAGGTAAATTCCACTCTGTATAATCTTTTCTGTATAAGGGTGGGTAGATACACAGGATATAAATCTCCCTGGAGTCTGTAGATACAGCAAAACAAAGCTGTTAGGTCTTGGGATTAGTAAAACAAGAACGGCGAAAAGACATAAAGTGTTGATTTCTGTAGCAGTGTGCCTGCTCTTAGAAACTCCTGAAATACAAGCAGTTCTGATTCTAACAGATAGCTTTGTGATTTGATTGGTTTGAATGTGATGGTGCTTGCTAAGTATGTCAGCTATAATTAAACTCTGTTTATTACTGTAGCAGGCGTATTCTCAGCAGGCTTGGCTCCAGCTGCTTTTGTGCCAAACCCATACATTATCAGTGCTGCTCCTCCAGGTACTGACCCATACACTGCAGCTGGATTAGCTGCAGCAGCTACCCTAGCAGGTAACTGAACACTTTCTAGTGTTTATCTTAATAATTTTACTGAACAAAATTAGAAAAAAAAGCTGAAATCCATCCTGTTTATTTTATGTAAATGTGTTTCTAGGAAGGAGGGACTTGTAGGAAAATTAATACTATCATTTTGAAAAATTTCACTAAAATGGAAAGGGATTCAGTTTCTGTTGTATGCGGATTCTGAGTATTTCCATTGGACTTTTATATGCAGCAGTTAGGTTTTTTTCTGGTCTAAAAATGTTCATCCTTAATAAAGTTTTCACCTGACATTAGCAGTATGTATTATTTTCACAAGATGAGACAGCTAACCTTTCCTTGTATGTTTTTACTCTGTGCATTAATTTCCTAATTCCAGGTTTTCTCATTCCCAGTGGGCATGAGAATAAAGATGTTTTCCGGCATGCTGAAAGGCCCAGACAACAGATAAACCCCAAGCTCAGGAAAGTCTCTTTAAAGTTAATAGGTATCACTGTGAACCACCACCACTGAGAATTCAAGTCCCAGTTAGTGCCTAAACCTGAGCAGTACATTTTGTACAAAACCTGTATCTGCAGTTGATGGTTTCACAGGAAAGGCAGTAGAAAGAACCAAAATGACTGTGTGCATAATGCATGATGTGTACAGTGCAGTGATACAGAATGCTCAGACTTCTACAAGTTCTTTATGAATAGACTAGAAGAGGTAAGTGTGTCTGTTCTGGAGAGTGTGATGTAGTAGGCAGGGGAGGCAGAGGCAGTAGTTGTGTTTGTAAGCAAAGGAAGCACACAGAAAGGAGGAATAACAGATTATTAAAGTCTCAGTATAACACTGTTGGGTGGATGAATTTGGTTCATTCTGTGGTGTTCTGAAATGATCTTTTTTCCAACCATGGAAACTGATTTTGAGTGTTCTTTGATATATAAACTTTGATTAAGTTTTTAATTTGTCACCCAAGTCTCACAAGGGTATTTATTTTTTCATAGAGAAGGTATGTTTTGATGGGAGTCCTTTAACTCATTTGTGTTCATGTATCATTTTGGCTAATATGGGAATTAATTTCTTTTTTAATACTGATTTCTGTTTTGACATTCAGAAGATGGGGCTGTTCAGCCTGGAGAAGAGAAGGCTGCATGGAGACCTTATAGCAGCCTTCCAGTATCTGAAGGGGGCCTATAGGGATGCTGGAGAGGGACTCTTCATTAGGGACTGTAGTGATAAGACAAGGGGTAATGGGTTCAAACTTAAACAGGGGAAGTTTAGGTTGGATATAAGGAGGAAATTGTTTCCTGTAAGGGTGGTGAGGCACTGGAATGGGTTGCCCAGGGAGGTTGTGAATGCTCCATCCCTGGCAGTGTTCAAGACCAGGTTGGACAAGGCCTTGGGTGATATGGTTTAGTGTGAGGTGTCCCTGCCCATGGCAGGGGGGTTGGAACTAGATGATTTAAAGGTCCTTTCCAACCCTAACTGTTCTATGATTCTATGGATGCTATAAACAATATAAACAGTTACTTTAGCTGCAGTGGATGAAGTAATCATGTTTTCTGATTTTAGGTCCTGCTGTGGTTCCACCTCAGTATTATGGTGTTCCATGGGGGGTGTATCCAGCCAATTTATTTCAGCAGCAAGCTGCAGCAGCAAATACCACTGCAAATCAGCAAGCAGCTTCACAGGCACAACAGGGACAGCAGACGGTAGGTCCTTCATAAAAAGGAGTTGTGCATTTAAAGCCTTACCTTAACATTTTATGTACATAAAGATCAGCTTCTAGAAAATTTTGCATAATTCGGGTATTGTGTTGTATCAGATAATAAATGGTGCATTTAAAAACGCATTCTACAATCTTTCAGTGGCCTTTTTCCATGAAAGAAAAGCCCAGATCTTATAATGATGTTACGTTTGAGTGAATGTTAACTTGGTTGGTTTACTGGCAGTGTGGTTAATTTCAATGCCAGTCTGACAAATTTAATACAAGAAGTGACTTTTGAGTTATCATGAAGTTGCAGAGTACCTTCATCACTGTTTGAATATTCAGGTGGATCTTTCCTCCTACTGATAATTGTTATCAACGAACTGCATTGATAACTAAACGTGTATCATCTCTCCATTGTTATTTTGCTTTCTCCGTAACATTCATACCCAATTTATGCAAATCACAGATAAAATGTTTTGTGGGGATATGTTGTAAATTGTATTTCTGTCTTATTTTGGACCCAGAGATTATTTTAACGAAAAGGAGTAGAGTAGGTGAAAGAATTTAGATTGCTTTTCAGTCAAATTCAATCAGAGATAAGCTGTTGGAACATAACAAAATACACCTGTGTTGCACGTTGATAGTGTTAGGCGAATTCTTGAAACTCACTGCATTTTTGCAGCATTGTTGGCACTGTAATGTTAATTATTTAGACGAGTTACTACGAGCTCTGAAGTTTTCTGACTTGAATCATTCTGTTGCCTGAAAATAATATAAGTCAATGTATTTATCAGGGAAGGACAGGTGTTCAGTTAATAAATAATGGAAATCATAAATATATAACTCTTAGAGAGTTTTGTCCTTTATTACCATTGATGGAACACATGAGCTCTGCTGTGCAGAGCAAGGCAGATACTTCATTGCCACATTTGTCAGCAAATACTACATGCCTTTTATTCTTTCATGTATCTGTGAAAACAGCAAGGTGGAGTATTCCCAAAATGAAATTCAGAGCTAAGTGGCATCAAATATGCAAAGGAACTGAATTATACATTTTTCAGCACAAAATGGGCTTGCCTTCTTATCTTTTAAGGAAAGGGTGTCTTATTGGTCTTTTCCAGGTTCTGCGTGCTGGAGCAACTCAACGCCCACTTACTCCCAGTCAGGGTCAGCAAGGGCAGCAGGCAGAGTCACTTGCAGCAGCTGCAGCAGCAGCAGCAAATCCTGCTTTGGCTTTTGGTCAGGGTCTTGCTACAGGTATGCCAGGTATGTGTGTTACCAGTGGATTGAGAGAATCATTGACACTTAAAATGTTGGTGTTATTACATAACAAGACTTGGAGAGTTAATCTGTTATGTTAATGGTAAGCTGCTTAGAACTGAGTTCTACATAGTTTTATATTGTTCAGTTGGATTAAAATACTGGCACAGCATTTCTAGAGCACAAGAAGTTTTGGGCATTTTCTCTTGTATTTGTTGTTGCAAATGTGTGCACAAGGAGTATGGTTGGGTTTTGCAGGAGAAATTCATATATAATGAAGCAACTGTATGCTGTCTTAAAAGGTCATGAATTGTCTGGTTATTCTGATGCAACAGGAAGTATTAATTTGTCTTCCTGAAGTGATGTTTTACTTGCAGCATGTAGTAATAAAATCTAAAATGCAGAATCCAAAATTAGGAAATTTAAAAGAATATTACTGCTTAGTCATCTCTGAAGATCACAGTGTGCTTAAACTGGCAGCACTCTAAAGCTTGGAGCCTCAGATCCTTTTAGCATACATGGCTTCTGACTATACCCGTGGGATAAGTATTCTCAGTCTCAGTACATATGTCATAAATGTACTAGCTTTAAGTTCAGCATCGCTTTAAGGTATTTGGTACGATTACCTGAGCAAGGACAAGTTAAGTATACTTGGCTGTTCTTCAATATGAAAGCTAAGATTTTACTTGATTAAGTTAGGTAATGATGAAGGTAGCTGAAACTGAGTTTGACTTGTACAGATTCTCCTCTGTCAGCGCTGCTGTCAAATGCCTCATAATCTTCAGAAATCAGAGCTAATTTGTTACTGGATGCTGTGGGACTGCATTGTGCATTTTCTGTTCATGATCAGATTCTAAGCCTCTAGCTGCTGAACAGTCTGGCTCTTGTGTTTTTTCTTTTCTGTTTTGTTTTATAACTGCCTTTTTATTTCTTACCATGCAGCTTTTAGCATCTTTCTTTTCCACATAAAATGAGGAATCGGCTAAGTGTGCTGTCATAGCACCTGTCAAATGGTGTCTCTGCACCTCACCAAAGCAGTGGAGAAAGCCTGCAGTGATACCAGAGGTGCTATAAACATCTTTTTGCAAATGCTTCAAAGGTTTACCTGTACTTCTTTTTGTATGTCTTTGCCTGGGGGCGAAGTGGGGTAGTATTACTTATTAGTTCTCACTGTGGACATGGATTTCTAAAACAGGCGGATGGTCCATGACTTGTAAAAAGCCTGTGAGATTTAGCTTGATTCAGATCAACATGTGAGACCTTGAGCCAGCCCAGATTTGTGACTTAATGTCACAAAAAAGAGCATTATTTTCAAAAAATAAAGCATCTGTTTTAAGTCAGGGATAGTTCTTAAACCCCACAAAAAAGCCCGCTCTCCAAAGGGATGATTAAAAGCAATACTGAGTGGTCAAATGCAGGATAGGCTCTTGAATTGCTGAGTTTATGTGAAGATTGGACTTCCTTCACAAGGAAGGAAGGCTGAGGAAGTTGGAGCTGTTCAGCCTGGAGCAGAGAAGGCTGAGTGGAGACCTCATAGCAGCCTTCCAGTATCTGAAGGGGGCCTATAGGGATGCTGGAGAGGGACTCTTCATTAGAGGCTGTAGTGACAGGACATGGGGTAATGGGTTCAAACTTAAACAGGGGAAGTTTAGATTGGATATAAGGAGGAAATTCTTTCCTGTTATGGTGGTGAGGCACTGGAATGGGTTGCCCAGGGAGGTTGTGAATGCTCCATCCCTGGCAGTGTTCAAGGCCAGGCTGGATGAGGCCTTTGGTGATATGATTTAGCGTGAGGTGTCCCTGCCCATGGCAGGGGGGTTGGAACTAGATGATCTTAAGGTCCTTTCCAACCCTAACGATTCTATGATTCTAAGCCCCAAGAGGTTTTCCATGAGGGCAGGGGTCTTTCTGTTCAGCTTCCATTATAGGGTACTTCTTGGTCCCATCTGCTGCATGCCTGGATAGACAGAGATTTTTACTGTTCTGTCATAGGAATTGTGTGCAACTGACGTTCAACCTTACTGACCACACTGTTGCAGGGAATAAGGCTCAAAATATAAGCAAGCCAGGCATTTATTTTCTCAGTCATCATAAGATGGTTTTGTAGTGAGTCATAGGGAGTAATGGTGATTCTTCTTAGGTGAAAGAGAAGGATACAAGATGATGAAAAGGATACAGGCCACTTTAGATGGGAATCGTGATACTGTTTTACATGTCTAGATACTTAAGGCTCTTTCTGTAGGTAGTGAAAAGAAATAGGAACTTTTACTCTTGATTCATCTGCCTCTATTTTAGTTACCTGATTTAGGATAAAGTGGATTTTGCTCCAGAGCTGCCTTTTTCTATCCACTTACTGTAAAATTGAGTCAAGATGAGTAAATTACATCTAGGTAGCGAATTGTGATTAGGTGAATCCCAGGTAGTAACTGCTGAACATATGTAATAAATAAGAAGAAAATATGCAAAACTCTTGTTTCAATTGACTTAGATGTTTTACAAGAAAGTGTAAATCCAAACTGAGTTTCTAGGTTTTGAATATTCTTTACAGAGACAATATCTGTAGTTAGGCTTCACTGTGAGCTAATAAATGAGTATATTATTTGACTTGTCCAGCTGCTGTCTTTAAATTGTTTCTGCTGCTTTCTCCTTGCCACAGCCTTCATGCTGAATGAAATTCATGAGCTGTCCCAACTAGGGGATTGTTCTGTTTTTCGGATTTGATATTTCAAGTGTTTCTATATTAAGTATTCAGGGAGTTGTATTCATGTAGCACTTAAGGCACATATCTCATCCTAAGCGCAAAGTGTCTGAATTCCAGATTACTTTTAACGTAATTTTTCTGTTAAATCTCTTCCAGAAAAAAACATCTTCTCTTTTAAAAGCATCAGAAGTGAAATACATTTTGCATTGGAGTTGTGCAGTTGGTTTAAATTCTTCAGTCCTAATTTATCAAGTCTTTCAGTAACAAGGATTCTTGTAGACCAGTTTCTTACTGCATAAACTTTCAAGACAAAGCCAGAGGGTACTCCCAGTTTCATCATAATACGATCAGGATACGTTCTTTTCTACGAGTAAAACCAGTCCTCAACACAGACAGTGGCTGGACTCTGCTTAGTTGTCCTGCTTGAGGAATCTGCACCTGACCTTGGTTGTCTAAGGAGTCATTGTGCTCAGTGAAGATCCTCCCTAGTGCAGTTGCCATCCAAAGGCTGCAGAGCTGCTCAGCTTACCCTAAAATAGATGTCTAGCGGTGGGTCATTTGAATCCCTCCGGAGGCTTCATTGACTGCATTGGCTAGATCAGATACGACTTAGTCTGACTGAATTCATGCAAGTGAAGCCATTAACGCTGACTGTAATAGCGCATCTAGCATGCAAGTGGGCATGTAAACCAAGTTGTCTGGAAAACATGTATAAAACATTAAAATCAACAATTTTTGTCTATTGGCACTGAATTTTTTATTAGTTAGAGAAGCTTAAAGTGTGACATTGCAGTGGGTCTTGCATTCTATGCCTCCAGGAAGTATAAATAGAAGTAAAATTTAATTGTGGCAGACATACAGGGAGTTACAATATTGGCAAAGTTACAGTGGTTATAGAAAGTATAAATCACTTACTGGTAGGATAGCAAGTTCTGAATTTGTGTGAGGGCAAGTGCAAAGATAGGTGTATACATCTTCATTGGAACAAATGAAAGGTTACAGTGATTCAGATTTTGGTGAGCTTGGGAGACTGAAGTTGTCATGGTTTAAACCCAGCCAGACAGCTTGTTCACTCACTTGCCCTCCTTCTTGCCCTCCCCCTACTTCCGGAGGGACAGAGAGGAGAATCAAAAAGAATGAAACTCCCCCAGGTTGAGATAAGAACAGTTTAGTAACTAAGGTATAACACAAATCACTACTGCTACCACCAGTGATAACAATGATAAAGGAAATATAAGGGAAGAGAATACATCACCTCACCATCAGCCAACCGATAACTCGCCCTCCCCCAGCCTGACCAAGCACCGACTGATACCTCCTCCAGCCGTGCAGTCCAAGCCCTTCTGGGTAACTCTCAGTTACATCCTGGGCATGACGTGCTGTGGTATGGAATATCTCTTTGGTCAGTTTGGGTCAGGTGTCCTGTCTCTGCTTCCTCCTGGCTTCCCCTCCTCCCTGGCGGAGCATGAGGCTCACAAAGTCCTTGGCCAAACTAAAACATCCTTGTTATCAGCTCTGTTCCCAGGCCAAAAGTCAAAACACAGCACTGCACCAGCTACCAAGAAGGAGAAAAATGGCTGCTACTGCTGAACCCAGGACAGAAGTGAAGACTGCAGCATTTAAGGAAAGCCGGAAGATCAAGAGCTGAATAATTTTTCAAATCTGTATGCAGAGTAAAATAATCAGATCTTGGGAATGTTGAGAAAGGAGAAGCTGTAAACTTTCTGCATTAGGAGAGAGGACTCTACAATGACTTGCTCTTGAGTTATGCTCCTGAGTGGGGAGAGAGAGAGGTGTCAGGATGGTAGTGTTAAAAGGGGCAGATAATAGAGTTGGCAGGAAGAAGTGTCACATCTGTTAAGTTAAATTGAGTAGAGGGAAGTGACAAACTCTGACATATATTTGGGTGCCATCAACAAGAGAAGCTGCATAGAGGGAAGGGAGTAGGAGATCTGGGCAGAGCTTTGTGATATTGCATACAAAAATGTGAGAAGAGACTGTGAAGTATCCAGTGAAAGCCACTGAAGAAATTACTGGATGGATAAAAGCAATACTAAGAAAGGGCTGCATGAGCCAACAGAACAGATTTCCTCTCATTCTTTTAAGAACATTTAAAGTTTCTGTGAAAAGAATTCAGAAAGTTTTCAGAGTCTCTAGTTTCAAAGACAATTAAAAATCATTTCAGCAAAGCACACTACTGGTAAACCAGATTGTTTACTTTCATATTCCCTGCTGATCTAGGGACAGTAAGTGTGGATAGAGCAGTTGCATTCTAAAATAAGAGGTGTGATCAGAAGCTGATTAGGAAGCAGAGTATGGTTTAGGTTTTTGGTTGCAGTGGAAGACTACAGTAACCTTCAATGTGAAGGCACTGTAAGGAGCTTTGATAGTTGTTAATCTAGAGTGGGAATTGCATAGCCACAGGGAAGTGATGATGAATGGAGAGGTAATAAAAACTGAAACAGAAAGAGAGAGGGAATTAGAGAAGACCTAGCAAGTCATCATCTCATCTTTGATAAAAGAGAAGGCTGGAAATAGTTCTAAATTTTGTGTTCACCTTTCTGGTGATTGCAGAGTACTGTGAAGGAAGGGAAAGGAGAAGAGTTAAGTTTTGCTGTGAGAGCTGTTCTTCAGTTACTTAATCTGATATGGGATGGTCTCTCTGAAATTGAATTTTTGATGTCAGACCAAATATTTTTATACCCTCGAGGCTGCAAGTGCACTTGGCAAGATCTTGGCAATTTCACAAATAGTCCTACATTGCTTTGTTTTAGTAGATCAGAGTAGAAAGCTAAGAGGCCTCTTATTCCAGTTCAGAATGTGTTCATTTCTGAGATTAGGAACACAGAAGCACCCAGTCATAGCTTGAACCTTCTGTGATGGATGGCATCTTGATATTACTGACATAGCCTGTTTGTGGGTGGCATCACAGATAAGACAATGGCAAGGAAATATCAAGAGAAATTAAGCATTTTCTAGAGCAGAGAGCAATTCCATTTTTTTTTAATGCAGCATTCATACTAATCAGTTATTTTAGAAAATGAAAGTTAACTTTACTGCATTAGCATTAATCCTAGTACATTTAATTTGTGCAGTACTGTGTCAGGTTGGGGTTTTTTGGTTTGGTTTTTGGTTTGGTTTGGTTGTGGTTTTGTTTTGCCCAGTGTTTTGCATTGGAAGTAGGCTTGTTTACATTGTGGGCGTGAAGTTCTATAAAATATTGTGCATTAGCCTCTTATGAGCACAAGGGTGTAAATATATGATCAGGTCTTTTTTATACTGCTGTAGCGTTATTCGTGGATTTGCACATTTGAAGGGGGCGGGGCAGAATGAATACTGGTAAATATTAGTTCTGAGTTCTGAAACAGTGGTTTTATATTATACAACAGTAACAAATGGTGGGACCAACATGGGATTATCATTAGAATGTGCTACAAGTAAAGGTAGAAATTATGTAGGTACTAGTAACTGCTAATGTGTGCAGGAACATATGTGGAGCTTTCCTAATCATCTGGTACTCTATGCTGTTTTTTCTACTGAACTACAGTAAAAGAGACAGCCATCACTGACTTCTCCCTACCTTGGGAATGTAGCAGCCCTTCTTAGTAGTAGAGCAGCACACCACAATCCTGTAGGTGGAAGAGGCAGTGGAACCTACAGTGAAGGTTTCCTGACCAGTTCAATAGTAGGAACCTGTTTTGGCTGGTTTTAACTAGCCAAACTTTCAGACAAGCTCTGTGGAGGACAACTGCCTTGCTATGTAGTTGGTGAGAGAGAAAGTAGAAGCACCTAGAATACAAAAGAAGTGGTGAGCAGTGAGAGCAAACAGGTTTGGAATGATAGTAATAGCAAGTTTTCCAGAAAAGTATAGCACATTCCTCTCTGGAACAGTGAGTTGAACCTAAATATGTGGATCGTAACCATTCCTCTCCTGTTCAGTTACTATTGGAGTCTCATTCATATCTTCAGATCTTCTTGGTGTGAGAGAATTTGGATCTGTGTTTCCAGTTTCCCTGCAGAGTATTTTAAACACCAGGCCAGTAGGTAGATGGTGTTTCTAGCTGTTTCTGGAGCAAGGCATCTAGGCAGAGGAGGTTACACAGATGTTTTAGAAACTGAGGAGGAGAAAATGTGACTTGGAAGCCTGGTGACTGAGGTACTCACCTGGAATTAGAGGTCCAGGTCTTTATGTTTAGGTCTGTATGTATTTCAGAGAGAACTCTGCTAGACCTAGTTCTGAACATACATGGAAACTGACTTAAAATAGTGTGCAAAATCTTGGTTCTTACACATACAAAGATAGATGTGTGATTTTTATAATTTCGCCTTTTTTCTTAAAAGAATTAGTATATGAACATGGGAGGCGTATTGAAATTCTTTTGTGTTTTGATTTATTGTTTTGTAAGAATAGTCAACAAGATAAATGTATAACATTTTCAGTTGCTGAAAGAAGTTGGTTCTGTAATCTGAATATGACCAATGGTGTTCCTGCACCTTCTCACTATGAAGCTTACTTTGTTAACTTTGAAAATAAAATTCAGCTTCACTAAATTTAGCTGTTATTCTAGCTTTAACAAACTATGTAAAGCATTCCTAAGTAAGATTTTGTCGCAGCCTTTTATGATGATCACTGTGTTTTATTTTGATGTCCAGTAAATGTTCTAAGGCCATATGGCAGCTGTGCTGTTTTCCGCCTTGTAGTTTGTTGTCAAGACTATTTCAAGGAGAGAAAAAAAGCTGACTGCTGAGACTATTTGTATGTCCTGGGTTCAGAATACTAAACCATGACACTATGCTACTATTTCTTTTGTTCTTTGTTCTGTAGGCTATCAAGTACTAGCTCCCACTGCCTATTATGATCAGACTGGTGCCTTAGTAGTAGGCCCTGGAGCAAGAACCGGCCTTGGAGCACCAGTCAGATTAGTGGCCTCAACTCCTGTTATAATCAGTTCTGCAGCAGCACAAGCAGGTAAGTATTTTATCTTGTGTGGAGGTTGATGAGTATTTGATGATGTATTTTGTATTCGTCTGTGCAATTTCCTAGCTGTGAAGGATATACCATGCATGATTGCTCTCTTACACTGTTGCCTCCCTTTCTCTGAGGTTCTTTCTCAGAGAAGTAGTTTTCCTTTTTTAATTAAAATTTACAGTCCTCTCCCCATAGCTATACAGACGTGTTTCTGCAGATGTTGTTGCTTGTCAGATATAAGCATTTTCCCCTTTCCTCTCCTCATGCATATAGCACGCACTTCTCATCAGTCCCCTGAATGGCATTCCCTAAGAAGCAATCATTTTATTGCTTCGGCCTGGCAGAAGATGACTGAGTGCTCTGGGCCTTGCTGTGCTTTTCTTTTGAACGTATTTTCTTCTGAAAAGTGAGGCAAGGAAAAAAGCTAGAATGGACAGCATAAGAGGAGAATTAGTTACATGAAGTCTCTGGTTTTCTTTTTTCTCTTCCTGGCAGTGATGAGGTCTGGTACTACTTTACTGAACCGTTGTATTTATTGCATTCATTAAACTAAATACTAGCACTAGATTAAATTAATCTGTTCAGAAAATTAGATTTTAAGTTAATCTGTAAGCTTTTTTTCTCAGTGCAGAACTTGCTTCTAGACATCAGCAGTTGAAGATGTCTTTGAATGATTTAGCTGCTACTGTACTATTGCAACTTTGAATATAAAAGTACAGTTCAGTAAACAGTAGTGTCTTGTATGTTTACACTGAAAATTCTCTCTTACATTAACAGTTGTACAGCCTTGTTTAGCCTACAACATATGCTTTATTCATTTTTTTCCTTGGGTAATGAAGACTGTAATACTAGAAAGTCTCTTTTAAGTCCTTTAATATTTGAATTTCTGCTTGTTAAAGAGGGCTTCAAGAAAATAGTTTAGACCTGAATAGCCTATTTTCAGTCAGAAATGTTTAAGAGAGTAATTGTGATTGAAAACGTGTTTTACAGCTGCAGCTGCTTCAGCTGGAGGAACAGCAAACAATCTTGCGGGAGCCACGAACGGTCTTTTTCGGCCACTTAGTGCCCAGCCACAACAACAGCAACAGCAAACAAATAGTAGCCTACAATCCAATTCATTTTATGGCAGTAACTCTTTGACCAATAACTCCCAGAGCAGTTCCCTTTTTTCACATGGTCCTGGCCAACCAGGAAGCACATCTCTTGGCTTTGGAAGTAGCAGCTCTTTAGGAGCAGCTATCGGCTCTGCACTTGGTGGATTTGGCTCATCAGGTAGGTTGTTAATATAGTGAGGAAATTCTGTGAGACTTTTGTGTTAAGCAAAAAAATGTATCTGTATCCAGTCATCATATATACACATACATTTCTAAAAAGAATGCAAAAGTAGATTATTCAAATTTAAAACAAATTACAGGGAAGAAAAAAGGGGGTTTAAGTTCATTTGAGCTCTATATAGAAGATGTATTTTTGAAGGATGATCTGTAGTCATAGATACTTCCAAAACACTTTTCCATATTGATCACTGTACTCTGCCCCAGAAGTTTGTAACTGATTTTAGTAACCTTTTTATTATCAAGGAATTCTTCATTCTGTGCTTAAAGTAACAGTTGATGATGTTTGAGAGATGTATTCTTCTGTGTAATTTTCATGTCAGGAAAATTCCAAGTTCTAGAAAAAAATTAAATAGGATGTGACTTTCTAAATTTGATCTAATATTGAAGCGTATGTTTCCACCACATAGGATTTATAAAATGAAAACACTTAATACTCAAGTATAATCCTTGTTAACTCTGGTAGATTTAATCTCAGATACAGTTAAGCCTAAATAGTTCTGTGCAAGTCTGGGGCCTTAAATGACTTCAACAGATGCCCCTAAATATTATCAACCTATTTGTATTGAACAAGGAAAAAAAAATAGTTAATGTTGCCATCATCTTTCTGCCCAGAAGCAGAAATTTCCTATTCACACAGTTTTTAAATATGCAGGGTAGGTTTTCTTATTTTTCAGATTCAGTACTAGTAAGACAAATTATCTTTTCTAAAGAATATTTACTTTGTCTATTAGTCTCTTTAAGTCACAGCTATTATTATTATTTCATCCATGGACTGTCTTTATAGTCTTATGTATCTTGCAGAGTGGTAGGAATTGGGGAAAACTTATGTACTCTAGCCGTATTCTTTTTGAAATTTAATGCCCCAAGGGAAATAAAACCTAAATGTTGAAATGCAAAAAGATTATTACAAAATAGCTTAATATATGGAAAAGCAGAAGGAAAAACATGCCCTTCAGAGTTAAAATACAATACCTGTTATTTGGTAGCTAAGTGGAGATGAATACTAACACCCAATGTACTGCATAATAACACAGTGATTTTCTCGTCGTTGTTCATAAGTAACCTAAAAAATTATTCACTTGAACAAAACTAAAGCTAGGAAATCAGAATCGAGTTTAACACTGATCCCCTCTAATACCTGATTTTAAAGACCGTCTTTAACAAAAGGATAAAAATGCAGAGCCTACTCAGTCATGTAGGGTTTCTTAATTTTCTATAATATCATAGCAGGTAAATCTTATTTAAAAGTAACTGTGCTATCCAGGTACTGTATTTTGTAATATAATTTGTCCTGAGCTACTTGCAGGATTTCAGTGAATTCTTAGCAGCTGTGTTCCCCTTTAGCTACGTTTTCATTTTATTGATAGTTAGTGATATTGCATATTGAATCCACTGCACTCATTTAAGTCTCTAGGTAGAATATTTTTTTAAAAAAAGTCTTTATCCAACATTACTCCGTAGAATACAAATTTCAGTTGTGTATCTACTCTACTCAGCATAGTTCTTTCTGGCACAGGAGATTAAGCTTTTTTCTTGTAGCAGAGGTCAGTTCAAGCTTTGTCCAGAGCCTTCAGCATAGACAACATATGCTGAAATCTTACAGCAGTATCCCAGGTGATTTAGTTAGCATGGTAGTTTCCCCAGGGAATCAGGAAGCCTATGCTCTTGCAGTTTGGGAAGTGCTGATGAAAGGTGCTATCAAAACCTGAAATATTTTTAGTAATATCATTTGAATAAAAATATATTGAAAGTGCCCTTCTGCCAAGTATAAATTCTACTTGCCATAACAGCCACTTTAAAAATGCTTCCTGGTTATTTTTTGTTTTTAAAGGAGTTCCTGAGCAGTATGCACATATGAAATTAATTACACTGATGAGTACTTACACAAATAGGGTTATTACTTGTTGAGGCAAATCAAAAACAAGTTCAATTTTTTATTTGCCAAAGTTTCAGCTTCTTTGTAACTCCCCGTAGTGTGTTGTAAAGCTTGAATGTCAGTTAAAATACAGCCATGAAGATTGACAGATGGCAATACAGATCTTCCCCTTATGATTTCAGTTATTGCAGGGGGAAAAAAATAATAGCTCTGCAAAAAATGCAGTGGTGAACATGTTGTAGCTAAATGGCTGAATCACAGAATAAAAACCAGAAGAGGCAAACATACCGTATAAATGGCTGTTCGTACTTTACCGTCTCTTTTATTATGAGGTCACTCATACTTCATTTAAAGGTTTAGGTACATGATAAATTACTGCAGCTTAAGAGGTAACTAAGAATTGGATCCACTATGGCAGCTTTCCAGATGCCAATTTCTGGCGTGTAACAAGTGTAAAGTAATTGCATTACCTTAGATAGTGGTGAAGAGGGGTAAGCTAATTCAAGCTGGGTTTTGTGAGCTTTGTTTGTGTGTGTGTGAAAATGCAGCTCAGCTGGTTCACAGTAACTTGTTAAGCTGCAGTAATTTAGCTGAGTAAGACACTCTGAAAGCAGACTAAAGTTTGCTTGGTTTTATTAATAGCCAGAGAAATAACAGTCCCTCATGTAGCGCTGTATTAACATTCACATGCTTCTGTAGCCGAGCCAGAACTTGTAGAGCTAGTCTTAAATCTTGAGATTTCTTTCAACTGCTGCCTTAGTTTGCTCTTCTGATTTCTTATTCCCAGACTCCTTGCCTAGTTAGTCCAGTATCTTTTCCTTTTGGCTTCTTCTCTAGTATGTCTTCCTTCCCAGTTTCCAGGCAATACCTATCTCTCATTTTCCCTTCCAAATATGTTTCTGTTTCTGCTTGTACTGTGTAATGTGCCCATCAGCAGCTTGCTGTTCCAGTCTTTTTGCCCCACAGTTACATATACCTTCCACAGCCTAACCTTTCTTCAGATCCACTCTCTTCATCTTCAGTCCCACTGGTTTCGAAAGTGCTTGCAGTTTTTCTTGCAGTGTCCTTGTTGGCTCCTGTCTGACCTTTCTCTCTTCCTTGTTCTGGTTTCCTTCTTTTTTTTTTTTTTCTCCCTTTTCCTTTTTCCTTGGTGTATTTCTTGTGTTTGGCTGTTGTCTCCTCTGCATTTGAAGTAGAAGGCTTCCTTTTCACAATGTCTGATGCACTTTCCAAACACAAGGTGGGACCTTGGACAGCAATTTGAGTCCATTTTTGGCATGGCACATAGACGCCTAGAAGTTAAATTGCAGGGAAAACCTCTATCAGCCATCTCAGACATGGCTGTGTATGGACAGGAGTTTTAAGTTTTCACCTGTGTGTCTGTAGGAGATCTGTGCTAAACTTGGAAGAACTGTGATATTTGCTAAGATTTTTAGCTCCGTCAGAGAGAGCTACAGTGAAAGTAAGGTCTTCTGTTGCTAGCATATTGGTCTGAGTACGTGAAGCATTAACTTCTCATATAATAGGTAGCTGGATTATTTTGCTAAGCATAAAGCATCTTTCCTTGCCTGTTTTTCTGAAATTGCAGTGTTGTTTGGGCATAACTACTTTGCAAAATTTGGTCTAAGCAGGTACCTGCCATGAAAAGTATTGGCCAAGTTGCTAATGTTATGAGAAAAAAAAAAAAGGTCTTAAAATAGGAAGTATCAGGCAACCTTTATATTGGGTCCTGCTGATAGCTTTAGTAGGAAGGTACCTGACAGGGGTAAAGATGATGGAAGTGTAAATTCTGGCCTTCTCATTTTTAAATTGGAAGTAGAAATCAGATTTTCCAAATTCAGCTTAAGAAGCATCTTTGTTATCAAAATATCCAGAATGTGGTTTTGTTCATGAGTATAATAATGTTCCAGTGTTTAAAATAGGCACTCTAGTTTAATATATCACTAGTACTCAACAGATACTAGAATTTAACACTTCTAAAAGCTTTTTATTCTCCTAATTTATCCTAGACTGTTCATTACCCTGCTGAATGGTGCTGTGCAGGATAATCAGTCCTTCAGTAATATACTGCTATCCAAGCTTCTAGTCTAATTCAACTTTCAGAAATACTGGTAGCAGTAAAGTTCCATTTTTAGTTTCTTACCGTAATTTTCTTGTCTCTGCTCTGCTTCTCATCTTGTTCTTAGCCTATTTATTCCCTCTTTATAATATCTTTTCAAAACACCTCTTTGAGAACCATAATTCTTATAGGGAATTTTAAGTAGTTGTTTTTTTCCTACAGGTGAGGGGTTCACAAACAAGAGGAAGTTCAGAAACAGCTGAACAGGAACATAAATTGTTTTCTGAACCCTTAAACGACAACAACCAATTGTCTTGAGCCTTTTTCCTGAAATCAAGTATCACTGACTGATAATTTACAGTGGAAAAGCAATTATCAATGAGTTCAGTGGGAATATTTTTAGAATCATTTGTTCTATAAAGTGTTAGTGTAACTTAATCTCTTAAATTCCATGTTTGTCCCAAAGCCTGAAGCCAGGAGGGTAAATCAGAGTACTGCAATATTACTGTGAGAAGTCTAGAATGAAATGTTGAAAGACATGGGCATTGGTGAAATTACTTATCAGTGGTATGTTTATACTCACTTAGATTTACTTAAAAGCATGTGTGGTAATCACAGTAATTTGTCTTTGTCATAACGATTGCTGTAATTATTGTGATCGCATCTGTTATTGCCCAGCTGTAGTTGGGGATAGGTTTCATTCAGTTGACACTGTGTAATTAGGGTCTTTTTATTTCTTCTTCAGTTGGCAGTTCTGCAAGTAGTAGTGCCACAAGGAGAGATTCTCTATCTACTAGCTCTGACTTGTACAAAAGATCTAGTAGCAGCCTAGCACCCATAGGGCAGCCATTTTACAATAGTCTGGGATTTTCCTCCTCTCCAAGTCCAATAGGCATGCCTCTGCCAAGCCAAACGCCAGGACATTCACTTACGCCACCGCCATCACTTTCATCACATGGATCCTCATCCAGTTTGCATTTAGGTAAAAAAATACAAAAACAAAAAACAAAAAAAAAACACTTTTTGTTTGTATGTGTGTATGTATTTCTGTGTGTAAAATATGTGTTGCGTAAGAGATGTCACGTTACCTTTGCTGTTAAACAGTTTTGTAATGAAGTAGGCCCATTCCTGAAAGGTGAAGAGTGCTCTCAAATGCTACTTGATTTAACAGTGGAGGGCACTCAGTGTTTTGCAGTATCAGGCCAACAAGTGGTTTTTCTTCCCTTGCAGAAGCCCGGTAGAGAGCCCAGTAAGATTTACTGTTCCTTGTGTATTATGTTTCTACAGTATGACAAGCAAAGGTGCATTACATTTTTTCTACTTCAGTGTATTACCACTTAAAGGGCGTTTTAAGACAATACTGTGTTTAACCGTGAAGTGACTTTCACTACTGCCCCCTACTTTTCTAAAGTAGGAAAGTGAGCAAAGGACTCAGTATAAAACATATTGAAAGGTGATTTGTGTATCAGTGAGCCTACTATCCTGTGGCCCAGATGCTTTGCCAGGAAGACGGTTTAGCACCAGGCTTGTGGAAAAAAATGCAGTTTGAAAGGAGTAGCAAAGGCTTCATCAGTGGTGGCTTTCTGTTATCAAATGCATTTTTTTAAGGAATGATGATAGTAATGTTTTAGAAAATCTTTTGAGCTAGTTAGATGACATGGGGGCTCAAACGTAAAAAAAATCACCAAAAAGAAAAATAGTTTACAAATGTAAAGAAACCCTGCCACAGCCTGCAGTATATTTAGAAGATAACGCCTCTAACCTGAGGTTACTTGATAAGCTTTCTCTGTTTTTCACTGCAAATATTTGTGGTCATTTAATTTGGATGCTAAAATCATACAGTGAAATTGGATGTCATCTCAACATTGACTTGCTTGTTGCTCCAGTAACTGTTCAGTGCATGATTCTGTGCATGTAACAGGCAACCTAATCCCCTGTACTTCGGTAAATACAAATAAAATGGGCAAAACTTTAAAAGTGCCTACCAGAATACACTTTGAGACATGTGTGAGTGATTTGTGTAACAAGGTTTAAAAAGTAATTTAAATATATTACATTTCTAGTTCAGTATCCCCTTCACAGTTAAGTGCTGCATACCCGAAGTAAAACAGGGCAAGGGGATGTTTCAGCACATTTTATTTTTTTTTACTTACCTTTTTTCCTTTTTCAGGTCTACAAAGTGCACCTTTGGGCTGAGACCGAGCATGGAAAGTTTCAGCCCAAATGGCGGCTTTTGAGAAAGTTCTGAACATCTGACAATGGGGTTATCATGGAAATCTCTTTCTTTCTTTCTGTTCAAAGTACTCTCACAATAGTTTTCATATGGCTGAAAACTATACTGAAATCAAACTTTGGAAGGCATTATCGAAAATTCAAAACAGCCAAAGTTTTGTGTTGTTTCACATTTGATAAATGTTGAAAGACTTCTTTCAATGCTGAGAAAATAAACTGTGATCAGTATAGAGGACTACCTCTGTTATCAGAAACTGTTAAATACTGATTTGAATCCGTTTAGGGCTGTTTGGCTGTGTGAACTAAGCTTAGTAGCTTGTTAAATCATGTTCTAGATCAGTGTGTAAAGGCCAGAATGTGCAGTTGTACTCTGAAAATTGACACAACCTTGATGGCTTCCATGTGTACTGCCTCTTCATCTTCCAAATGAAGTGGACCTTGATTATGGGTAAATTTTTGCTACCTTACCAGATCAGTCTGAAACTTTGGCAATTGAGGTCTTTTGGATTTTTGCTTTGGCAGAAATGCAGTAATTTTTTCAGCATTCTCTGCAGTCTGCTCTGTGTTGTGCCTTTGGGCAGTTATATCCAAGGTGTACTGGCACAGAAAGTTGAAGGTTATTTCTGCAGTTAATTGTCTGTCCTGTTGAATTTATTCTGATGTGTTCATCAACCACTTTTTGGAAGCATTTGGTTTGTTCTCAGATATAAAAAAATAAAACTAAGAAGGCAAAGCTTTCTCACCAAGTGAGAGTTATACCTGAAATCAAAGGGAGTATATTTTAAGAAGGGTATGATTATCACGTAATCACTTTTCAGAGTAGAACAACATTGTAAGTTCATGTCTGCATGCAGTTTCCACTGGTATTCTGATAATGCCTGTCAAATGCAGCTCTTCCTCCACTTTCAAAACTTGTTGTCCTGCCTGCTTAATATCAACAGGTTCAGCTAAGTTTAATTCCTGTTTTAAAAAGGGTATCAAACTCACTTGCTCATGTTTCAGCCACCAGAATACCAGAGCACAATACTGGGAAAGGGTGCATGGTTTTATAACCCCTTTGTCAGACACTGCTGCAGTTTGTAGCTTAAAAGACCAATTTCCCTTTTACAAGATATTTGTGATATTTTACTGTTTTCTGTCTTTTCTCACCAACTCTTATCCAACATCCTAAAGTAGGAATGTGTTAATTACTTTGTTCCAGTGTCAGTTTTCCTGCATTTGAAGGGATTTGTCAGTTGTCTGTTAACTGCTTCTTTACTGTAATCAGTTGGAGCAGTAAGGTCATGAATTTGAACTACCCTTTCACTCCCAGGGACAAAATCAGGAGGAAGTATTTTTCCTATGCTATAGAAACTCCTTTTATCTTCATAGTACTTTGTTTGATGGTACATTGCAGCATTTCAAGGGTTTGGTGTAGAGTAGGATTTTTAAAGTCTGGTCTTTTGGAGGTAATTATTTTGTGTGCCTTGCAAGCCAAGCTTGCTAGTAGTTTAGGTTTGATGCTTTTGTCTTCAGAAGTGATCATTCTGGGTGAGAATAAAGGCCCCTTGGCAATAGTGTGGGGAACTTTGCATTGTCTCTGTTGTGTTACCTACTCATAGCACTTTGGTAAGCCAGGCATAATAAGCACTGTCATTGATTCATTATATATATATGTATGTGTGTACATATATATGTGTAATTCTGTTTTCCCTATGAAGATGAAATTTTTAGCTGAGCATGAGGTGAAGCTGGTTTTTTACAGATGAGCAAATACTTTGTAGAAATCAAGTTTGGAGTGTTTACTCGTACGTGTTTTACTAGAAAATAATACTGTTGATTGATTTAAACAGGTACTGTGCAGTAAATTTCTTTCGTGTTTTGGTTAGAAACTACTGCAGAAATAGTTTAGTAATATGTACTGACAGATTAATGCTGTCAAAATTAATGTGTCTAGATCTAGTTTTTAATATTTTCATGTTCTCCTTTACATTAAATATGCTGTTGACATTGAGGATGTAGTAATCTAACATGCTTCGTCTCCTTGAAGCTTAGTAAGGCTCTGGTTTAGGTGGTCTAGATCCCTTTTATATCTCTGTGCCTCTTCTTCCCTATGGACTAGCCACAGGGATTTAGATTCAATTAAACTGTAAAACAAAATTATTCATTACGTTAGAGATCTTTGTTTTACCAGATCAGTAGTGATCGCTAAGTGACTAACTGAAGAACAAACTGCACTCTTTATTCCCCAGAGTTGTAATTCTGTGGCTGTAAGTGATGCCTGATACAGTCTTAAAATGTGTTTGCAGAACTGTTTAGAGTGGGTGCTTTTACTCAGTAGAGCATGTTCTCCAAATAATTTAAAAGACCTAGGTTGTTATCTTTTTAGTTCAGAATCTCTGAAACAAGTGTCCCCAGTTCTAGAAGAACATGGAGATGCAGTAGGCCCACCAGGATTTGGGTAGCTAGAATTCAGATTCCAGTTTTCCTTTTCTGAGCTGTTCACACTCAATTTTCAGGAAGCAGGCCAGGTATCCCGAATGTCCACATTAATGCTTTGATGGTTTTGGACTGAGAAAGTAATAAGCACAATATTTAGGAGAATAGTCCATTGTATGCAAGAGTATAACTGTGTGTAGTAAGTACCTGTGACAATGTGCTTTTAGTTCAGGGGTTTTAAGTATTTTTCAGATCTGCTGCTGTAATGAAAGGTTACATGAGAAGAAAGCCAATTACCTTTTAAATTGCTGTTCTTTATAATAGTGTCCAGGGGTTTACAAGGTTAAGCTTTCTGTGCGCTTTTGAAGTCTGACAGGTTCTTCGAGGCACAATGGGTATGTTTTCAGTCTTCCTGTGTTAGGATACTGCTTAACGCGATTGTCTGAAGTAGTTTCACAGGCTAGACAGGAGCCTCCCAGCTGCAGCATAGTCATCTTACAAGTCTTGAAAAGGAGTGGTTCCCAAACTAGGCTGAAGAAAGACTTGATAATCCTGATTGAAACGTATTGTGTACATGTAGTTCTACTACACGTATGTAGTGTATTTGTTAAAAGCTAACAAGTTTCTTAATTTACGTTAAAAAAAAAAATGACTGAAAGAATTCCTGATTTACGTGCAATTCCATGACGCTGTATGATAATTATAGCCATGCAGTTTGAGAACATGTAACCAAAACTGCCCTTAGTTTCTGGCACAGAATTGAGCATGTGATCAGTGGAGCAAGATAGATGCTACAACAGGAAAGTAGCCTCCAAGGCTTCCTTTTAAATAAGCTTTGCTGCCCTCTCGTGGCGTTGGATAGTGTTACTACACAGCATTTACAGGTAAGCTAGGGTTGCATTAATATGTCTAAATAATGTAGAAAAGAAATACCATAATTTCAGGTGCATAACTTTTTTTTAAAAGGCTGTTCCTAGAAGAAAAATGACTGTATAACATCATTCTGCAGTATGCAGAATGTTGGATTTCTTCGTTCTTCTTGTCTGTTAGTATCATATCGCTGCCAGCTCTTTCCAGGAACTAGTGATTGTCAATGGAAATGAAAAATGATAATTGAAAACCTGTATTTTTCTGGCTGTAGTGAATTAAGAGGCTTTAATTTAAAATAAAAGCCTAGTGTGTTTTAAAAGATATTGTGAGGTATAAGGTTTTTACTGATTCTTTATTGATTCTTACCACTGAATTTTGAAAACTAATTGTAAAATAAATACTAATTTTTTCTACTTTAGGGCACAATCCTCTACAGTGCAATAGATGTGATGCTTGATATGTCTTGCAGAGCACTAACATCTGAGATTCTGGTATTGTAGTTTGACCTTACAAAAAAGATACTTTACCATTAATACATTACCAGCCCACTGTAACACTGTTGTCGCCTGGCTTTATAAATACTTGGAACCAAAGAAATGCTTGGCTGGGGCCCTGTCAGCTGATTTCTTTTTTATTTTGTTTTTTATTAATTAATTTTGTAATAGGGCACCATTCAAACAGCACATACTGCAGTTTGTTTTAAATACAAGTGTAGATACTTCTCTGGGCTTTGGAAGGGCTTTCAGTTACTGTCACTTTCTAGATAGGGAAACTGCAAATGCTTTCCTTTTTCAATTCATACTTGATAATTTTAGGTTGTTGGTTTTCAGTCTTTTTTTTTTTAAAGTAGAGTTGAGGTTTCTAGGTGGGAATTGTCTTTGAATATTTCCACTTGTAGTATAGTATAGATGCTTTGTTTGCATGCTGCTTAGGATAATTGCTGCCTGTTGTACAGTGGAGAGGAGGGAGGCCTACTGGAGGAGTTCAGAGTGATATCAGTTGATTAGGAAACAATACATGAGGCGAAATCTACAGGACTGAGATGATGATAGCTGTAGGTGGAATCATTAGCAGAAAGGAGTAGGACCTAAATATAGGCAATTCAGTTTTTAGGAAGTAAGGACAGATGAAGTGTAGTGAGAGTGATGACTGGTTTTGCAGCAAGGAAAGGATTTTGTGTCTCTAAAAGGAGCTTCAGTTTTAGATATCTTTGGTTGTTTTAGAATTAAGTAGAGCATTCTTAGCTACCTGGTTTGAAATTTGACGTACTTGGTGCTTACAAGAGGTACCAGATTAAAAGCCTAGCATGCTGAAGTCATCACATATCCTGCAGAACAGGTACAGCATCACAAGAGGCACCATGTGTGCCTCCCAGAAAATGCCCTTTAATGCTGTAAGTTGGGAAGGTGCCTCAGTAGGGACTGAAGGGTAGTTCAGATTTCATGGTCTATTTGAAACAATTGGCTAACTTTGAGACTACTAACAAGGCTCTAAGTCAGTACCACTTGTGAAGTGGAAATCTGCCCACTGAGCTAAGGTCCACCCAGTTCTAAAGTTTCTGTAAGTCTGGGTGCTCACTTTACCTGCTTTGTTATATTCTTCTAATGACATATCTTTTCCTGGTGCCCTTCACGTAAAATAAAAATGAGGAGGATGGTTTTATTTATTGAAAGTTAAAGTTATCTTAACCCCTCCATCCATAATGAGGTAAATACAAATAACAAGACAATGCTGTTGTGTTCTTTGGCTCCAGGGTGTATCTGTATTTCTAGTACACTTAATGTTTTTCTGTGCTTATTTTCCTTACGGCTTTTACTGACAGAACTGCTTCCTTGTAGGAGGACTGACAAATGGTAGTGGTCGCTATATTTCTGCAGCACCTGGAGCTGAAGCAAAGTATCGCAGTGCAGCAAGTACCTCCAGTCTCTTTAGCTCCACCAGTCAGCTCTTCCCTCCTTCACGCCTTCGTTACAGTAGGTCTGATATTATGCCTTCTGGACGTAGTCGGTTGCTGGAAGATTTCAGAAACAATCGTTTCCCTAATCTTCAACTAAGAGACCTTATTGGACATATTGTTGAGTTTTCCCAAGACCAGCATGGTTCTAGGTAATTATTGTAGTCAATAACTTAATAACATTTTACTGCTTTGATATTGTCATATTAACATCAAACGTTTGAATTAGCTGCTAGTCATCTTAATAAAAAGCATGCCAGTAATTGAAGCACATGCTCTTACATTGACCTTTTTCTTCTCCAAGAAATCTCATTATAAAAGTAGTATAAGTTTAGCTGCTTGTAGAACTTCTCAGTGTATAAATAGCCTCATAACTAGACTTGTAAACTCTAGTATTTAGGTATCAAAAAGGCATTGATTAAGAAAACAAAACAGCTGGCATCTGAAATGTAAAATCATTTTTCAGCAATACCTCATCAGGTACTTAGTTATTGTTACTCTTTTCATCTTTAATCCTTCTCAAATGAAAGTTTTTACTAAAATGTGTCCTTTTATATGCAGAGGCACTACTTTCATTTTAATAAATTTTATAAACGTTGAATACTTACTTTGGAATTTTGAAGTGTCTCATTGAAACAGCGTTTGAGAGGTTTTCCTGTTGTTTATGTAAAGCATAATGGACCTTTTTCTGCACTTAGATTTATACAGCAAAAGCTGGAGCGAGCTACTCCAGCTGAGCGCCAGATGGTATTTAATGAGATCCTGCAAGCAGCATATCAATTGATGACTGATGTGTTTGGAAACTATGTAATACAGAAGTTCTTCGAGGTAAGCATAAACTAAGTGTTAGAACAGAAATTAGAATTAAATGCTTTTAAAATCTGATAATTTTTTTTTCTTAACATCATAGCAGAATTCCACTGGACTTTTACCACAGAACCCAAGTATGTAACACTGCACACGTGTTTTCTGTTTTCTGTCCCCCACTTCCTTCTCATAACAGGCACAGTTTCTCTTAACACTGATGGTGTATATATTGGTGAATGTTGGTGAATTCACAGGCTGCACACTCAGGCTTTGCAAGACTTTTAGCATAATTTACAGAGGTTTTCAGCAGATGATGTGGAACATAAAGATTTGAAGGATAGTTTTACTGGTAAAAGTGGGCCAGGAAAATACTCTTGCACCCACATAAATAGCTGTGTGAACTTCATCCAGAGCCGTCTATGAAGAAACTCATAAAATGTATTGAGGTGGAAGGATTTTGATGAAGGGATGTTAAGATATATCTAGTATTACTAGAACTAGTACTTAAAACAGCTTTTGTTTTTGTTAAAAAATAGGGGGTTAAAAAAGACAAAGCCTTATCAGAAAGTTACAAGATTTCATCTAGAAGAAAAAGCAGTACCTGTGTTCTGGTAAAAAATTATATGTATGAAAAATCTCTAGCGTACTGTACTTTAAATCAAGGACCGTATCAGTTTAGGTGGATAGAAGGTGAAGCTGGAAAACATCCCTTACAGTACCTAAACAGGCCTGGAGAGCCCTAGAGGGATTTATAAGATCAGGTATTGATAGGACAAGGTGTAATGGCTTTAAACTGAAAGAGGGTACATTTAGATTAGGTATTGGGAAGAAATTATTTAGTATGAGGGTGGTGAGGCACTGGCACAGGTTGCCCAGGGAAGCTGTGGCTGCCCCATCCTAGTCAGTGTTCAAGGCCAGGTTGGATGGGACTTGAAACAACCTGGTGTAGTGGAAGGTGTCCCTTTGAGGTCCCTTGCAACCCAAACCATTCTATAGAATCTATGTTTCATGGGGTACCCACTTGTGAAAACTGAAATGATTCTGTGAAAGTGGTTGCTGTAAACAGGAATGTAGTTTTTAAGTATGTAATGTATGAAATTGTGTTCACTTTTTTGCATGCTTTTTTACAACTCAAAACATCTGAAGAGTGTCTGATGTATGGCATGTAGTTGATCTTGTCCAGGGGTCATCAGTTGCTGATTTTTTCCATGTTAGGTTGGATGGTTTTCATCTTAATTCTGCAGAAGAGTTCTCAAGAAAACTGTGCACTAGGCCTTAGTTGTAGTAAGGGCCTTACTTCATTATTTAAGTAGGAAGATGAAGTTGGTTGCACTTTCTTCAGCCTCAAGTGACTACATGTATGGGGTTTGGCAGTTCTCAGCAGTGTTGCATGAATACTACTGGTGCCACCCCACTGGACACTTCAGTGTGGTCACTTGTATTGTGCTAACTCAGGAGCTTGTGTGGGGATCTGGGAACAGGGTTACGTGTGCTATTATGAAGCTTAACTGGGTTCTACTCTGCTCAGTGTGAAGCATCACAGAAGGTTGTAGTAGCGCCATGGAGGGAATAATAATGGCAGGAATTAGTTTCTGCTGAAAAACGTTGATTGAATTAAACTCTTAATCCAGCCATTGCACAAAAACATTGTGATTTTGTTCTGCAAACCCCAAGTACTTCTAGATTTCCCAAAGTGCCAATGGTGAGAATGATCTTCAATCCACATGAAGTTACCAAGATGCTATTTCAAGGGTTGAAATCTTCTCCCCCTCCCCTTCCTGTTACAGCTTGCTTACTGTATGCAAGATGTAAGATACACTGATCAGAAAAAATTTGAGATACCAAAGAAAATCTGATTTAATATGTTATAGGAATCGGTAATTAATTTGCCTGGTGTAATTTGTCTAAATAAATGGGTTATTGCACTCAAACATTCCTACCAACAGGCAAATATAAACTACTTCAGTTTCTTCTCCTGTCTTTCAAGGTCATGCATTTGATAGCAGGTATGTGACTGGAATTTGGAATATTACAAAATGTTGCATTTAGAAAACAAAAGATTCTGATAAATATGCCCAACAAAAGTACAAAGGGAAAAATTATTTGAGGTACCCAGTAAAAAACACATCATGAAAGTACTTCCTCTGACATGTAGATTCCAGCATGCTGCAATATGTCTTCATTTGTTAACAGCATATGTTTTCTTGTAGTTTGGAAGCCTGGATCAGAAGCTAGCCCTAGCAACACGCATACGTGGTCATGTTCTGCCATTAGCCCTGCAGATGTATGGTTGTCGCGTTATTCAGAAAGCACTTGAGTCAGTCTCGCCTGACCAGCAGGTAATTGTAAGTTAGAGTTATACTTTTTTAATTTTGTTTCTTTTTATTTTGTGTCTGTCTGTTTACTTGCTTAAATTGAAGGGAATGATCAACATTATAAAATGCCCTGGGAACTAAAATAGTTGTTTAATGAGGTACACAAGTAAACCACAAGTGAATGTGAAGATTGGACAGTTAGGAGGAAATGGAATATTACTTTGAGGGGGGGGGAAATATTGTAAAGACAAGGATAATCTTTTTGGGGTTTTTTTTTTGAGGTTTTGTTTGGTTTTTGGTTTGATTTTTTTTCAGAACGAAATGGTGAAAGAATTGGATGGTCATGTCCTGAAATGTGTGAAAGATCAAAATGGAAACCATGTTGTACAAAAATGTATTGAGTGTGTTCAACCCCAGTCACTCCAGTTCATCATTGACGCATTTAAAGGACAGGTAGTGTCAACAGTTTGTTTCCTCTTCTGTAGGGTTGCTTTGATTTGCAGATCTTTCTCCATCGTTTGCATATACAAGGTAGTGTTTGAAGCTTTGCAGTCAGCTTAAGTAGGATGAAAAAGGAGTAATAAAATGGAAAAGCTGTCAGAGACAGTTAATGCTGTAAAAGATGAATCTCTTAGAGATAAGGCTCTGGAAAACCTGTTTAGGTTTATTATAAATACATCCAGTGGACGCAGTATAAATACATACACAGTATTTGGCTTTAAGGCCAGGCTTTCTGTTTGAGTCTTGTGATAATGCCATTTCAAATTTCCTTCATAACTTCCAACATTGTCATTTTTGATGTAATAATAAAGCAGCTGCTCTCTAGCATTTATTTTTCATTAAAATTCCCATTTTCTTCTGTTGCAAGCCCATCTTTCAGTGTTTCCCAGTTAACGTCTATCATTAAAGAAATAACTTTGAAGAAATATACTAATATTACCTATATATGGGCTAGTGTGAAGTGAAGGAGGGTGGTACTTGTTTATTTAAGGTTGGTGGTTTTGTTTTGTTTCCAAAACAAGTTAGCTTGCAGCACAGTATCTTATTTTAATAAAGAATATGCTGCAGCTAAGTAAGATTTTAATACTCTGAAACTTTTATAGTCTCAAGAAGAACTGCAAAAATCTTAGTAACTTGGCTGTATTACTAGGTTTTACTTTAATGGATGGCCAAATGTATTTCTTAATAAAATCTACAATATCCTTCTCTCACATTTTGCACAATAGCAATACCTGAATTTATTGTTGTATGTAGTAGTAAATGGCTTACCAAGGTATGTAAAGTCGAGTCTTTTTACATCAGAAGTGTATATGGGGTAGATGAAACACAGTTTCTTAACTGTAAATAGAGCCCCGCCTAAAATGTGTCTGTTTATTTACTGGACATCCATCCTCAGCTCCAAGTCTGAAGTGGCAAATGACAATGAAATGCCACACTTCAGTCATGTAATTTAACAAGACTTATCTCTTTCACTCTCCTGCATCATTTGGATCCGTGTCTAATCAGACAAGATCCCATGTTCATTTCTGCCCAGTACTGACTCACAAATCTTCTGAAATAATCCCTGAAACACAAACCTGGCTTCTGCAGAAGCAATTAAAAGGAGTAAGCAAGATTTTGACTGTATGTTTTGAATACTTCTTTACAAGTTTATAAGAAGGAGCCTAGTGTATGTGCTGCAATGTGAAATTGGTGAAAATCAGCCACAATAATTGAACTTTTTATAAATGTCAAAAATCTTAAATTTGAAAATTAACTATGAAGTTAAAAGGAAAGCTTGAAAGGTGAACAGTGCCTGACTAAGGGTCATTCTTCCTGGGTTTCCTTTACAGCTAAATGTGCTGTAATGAAAACTTGGGGTTTTAGTTATATAATTACTGGAGTCCTTGACACACAAAACCCTGCATTTTCACCTTTTCCTGACCTCCACTGGAGATGGAATTCTGATACTGGCAGGCAAAACTTTTTTTCTAGAAGTACTTGGCACGTTCAATTCTATTTTGAACACGGTAATATTACTGTAAACGTCAGTTGGTGTAACTCCAGTTTGTTATCCTATTTTAAGGTATTTGTACTTTCAACTCATCCATATGGTTGTAGAGTAATTCAGCGTATTCTGGAACACTGTACTGCTGAGCAGACTTTGCCAGTCTTAGAAGAATTGCATCAACACACAGAACAACTAGTGCAGGTTAGTGCGTGTGTTCATTTTTAATGTGTTTCAGAGCTGGTTGTTGTCATAATTTATTCCTATTTCTTAGTTTAAGAAATAATTTAAATGCATTTGCCTCTAATGAGTTTTGTAGACATTAATTTTTTTTTGTTTTCTTTCCTTCTATAGTTTTAATGAAAATGAATTTGGAAGTTGGGAGGCAAAGAAGACATAAAAAGCCCTTTTCTTACACTTTTGACTGTAGCGTCAAATACACATTGTAAACACATGGAGCTAGTGTATTTTTTATTGCAAAGATTGCCTTTTTGTAGTTTATCGTGATTCAGGTGTTCTTCAGAAATTGTGAAAAATATAAATGTTGCATATTCCTACACAAATAGGGCATCTTTTCTAAAAGAGGACAAAAGACAGCATCATTTCCTGTCTTGGTTTCAGATGAAAAGAATGAGTGCTACAAGTGGCTTTGAAATTTTATCAAATATTTCATCAAATATTTGATTTAAATATTGAATCAAATCAAAATAGTGGAAGGGACTTGGTGTTCAGTAGGACCTTCCACACATATTCAGTCTAATTTATTTCTCAGTGGTTTCTTGAATATACAAGACTAGTTAGAACATAACTCTCTTGGGGAACCAAAGTTCAGGGAGATGCTATGACTGCTAAAGAATGATGATCTTAATTTTGAGAACATCTTTCTGTAAGAGGATAGAAGGTACTCCAGCAAAATGCTGGGTTTACAGTTTATTTACATTTGGCACCATAAATTTTGTGGTCCGTTTAAGTAATTCTCCATGCAGTATTTCTTATATCACTTTGTTTCTGTAATGTTGACATTATTGTGTTTTTCCTTATATCTGTGGAAATAGTAATTTGAAAGTTTATATAAATACACAAAAGGTGTGTGGATTGCTTGTTATGAACATAAAAGAATATTGAAGTAATCTTATTTTCAGGATCAATATGGAAATTACGTTATTCAACATGTACTGGAGCATGGCCGTCCTGAAGACAAGAGTAAAATAGTTTCAGAAATAAGAGGAAAAGTTCTAGCTCTCAGTCAGCACAAATTTGCCAGGTATTGCACAGCCTTCATATTTTAAAGATTCCCTGACTTCTAAAGCTGTAGTGTTGGATTTGTTGTGTTACAAAAAGGGGTTGGGGTTTTTTCAGTCATGTAACTTTCCTGAAATTTCATATTCTTATAGAGATGAATGTTAGTGGTATTTTTATATTAGATTTGGGGAAGGGAAAGTGCTGTTCTGTAGCAAAACAGAGAAAACTCCATGCATTTATAAGATGGTTTTTGTTCATCTTGTACAAATGCAGGGAATAAGTTCCAGGTCTTCATGTGAAGATCCCCAGAGACAGGTGAAAAGCTTTCCTAGAACCTGCTTGGTACGCTGGGACTTCCTTGATAAGCTTGTTGGATAAGCTGGGAAAGTCTTAACAGTCCAGCCATGCAATTTACAAGTATAAAAAGATAGCCTTAGAAAGTGGTGGCTCAGCCTGACAAAGATTTTATGCATCAGGAAGTTTTAAAGACTATTGTAGGAGTCCTGAACTACTCTGAAATCAGAACCTAAAATTTATCCTGCAGTGGGTTTTTTTTTCCCAAAATGTATGTATCGTCTCTTGATAAGGAAGCCCCACCTCAGCATTCATTGTGGATGATTTAGTGAGACTCACCTTGTCAACAACATGAAGTAGACACTGATGTTATGGGGGTGTATGTTTTAAAAAATCAGTTGTATGCAAACTGGATTTTAGTTTGCCTAATTAGAACTGTTCAGAATCCTCTCCTTGGAACTTGCGTAATTTCTAAAGCACAAACACAGGACCAGAATCACTTTGCTGTCTGATGAGCAGTGATGGCCTTTCCAGCTCCTGAAATACAGGACAGACCTTCTCTACAAAAAGAAGTATTTGCAGTATCTGATACAGGCACACTCCTGAAAAGTGCCTTTATTCAAAAAGCAGGAAGCCTCATATCTGGCTTTCTCTGTTGTGCCTTTAAAGAGTCCACAACCAGAGTAGATGCAGTAGAATACATCTGCAACCTGAAGTCAGGTATATCCACTGTAGGACCAGTGGAAAGAGCTCCCACAAGAGACTTAACTGTCAGGAAATTTTTTTAATTTTTTTTTACATGAGTGGGAGTGCTGTTAAGTCACTTGAACTGTTCAGATAAATTTAAAAGTGCTACTTAAGAGTGTTACATCTGAATCACAGAATGCATTTGTCTTTCAGCAATGTGGTAGAAAAATGTGTGACTCACGCTTCTCGTGCTGAGCGAGCTTTACTTATTGATGAGGTCTGTTGCCAGAATGATGGTCCTCACAGTGCCTTATACACCATGATGAAGGACCAGTATGCCAACTATGTTGTTCAGAAGATGATTGATATGGCTGAACCTGCTCAGCGGAAGATAATAATGCACAAGGTATATTTGTATGTAATTGTGTTGGTTCAGAAAAATTATCTATACTGTTTTTTCTGCTGGAATACCTTTCCTTCTAGGTGTAAAACTCACTAGTTCTGTAATCTAGAACTTCACATCTAAACATTAAATTCAGTGGGGCTTGATAACGCAGAATACATTTGGGTATCTGAGCACAAAGCTCATGGAAATCCACAGAGGAGTTTCACAAGCTGGATTTCATATCCTCCCTTTGTATCACCTTTTCTGTGGAAATACTTTTAATACAAAAGTGTAGTATCTGTCATCTTTATTAATCTAACAGAAGAAATACAGCTTTCTCTTTTCATTTGCCGGTTGCTGGTATAAATCCATTCTTATCCTTCCTAACATACGGGCCCATTTTCTACTTAAGAATATCCAGACATGGACAAAAGTGATGTTGCCATAATTGCCATAAGGCAATTGAACCCAAGGCCTCTGTATGTTCCTGTAGGAGCTCTGCTTTCCCCAGTTACCAAGAGGGCACCCCCACAAAAGGCCTCCATCCATTTTCTTGTGACAGGTGCATCAGTTGTTTGGTGAGTCAAAGTCACCAATTGACATCTTTCCAAAAACTTCCAAAAGTTTGAAATACAGGAATACAGGCTACAGACTTTTTTGCTTATTTACATAATATTTTTAAAGTGTAGTAACTTCTCCTTGTAAGTTCTGAGGGGAAGAAAAAAAAGAAGCCATAACATGTTTCTTCTTCCAGATTCGACCCCACATCACAACTCTGCGTAAATATACCTATGGCAAACACATTCTGGCCAAGCTGGAAAAGTATTACCTGAAGAACAGTGCTGATCTGGGGCCAATTGGTGGACCACCAAACGGGATGCTGTAAAAGTCAAAAAGAAATGGAAGAAAAATGGAATTGTGAATGATCAAAGCATACAACTTAACTGTAAATGTTCTGATTTTTTAAAATCTATTTATTGACTTTGTTCATCCATTTGTAAAATTTTTATTCTTGTGTATATTTTTGGGGAGTGAATTATTAAAAAAAAAAAGAAAAAAATATCTCCAGCCCTGATGCGGAGACCTATCAGATTGGATGGCTGGCAAAGCACAGAATGCCTGTATATGATGTAATTGTATCAAAATAGCTGTCACATATTTTGTAAATTTTTACCTTGTAAAGTCACTGAAATAGTTTTTAAAGGGAAAAAGTACAGTATTCTTTTAATACACTGGCTTGCAATCTGGTAGGTCTACACAGCATCATAGCACAACAGGTTTATAGAGTTGTATATAGAATTAATCCTTATTTTTTCCCTTTTGTGTGAAGTCTTTTATACCAGATTAAAATTGATCAGCTGCATAAACATTATTTAACATGTCCAAAAGTTAAGTTGTATTTTGGTGGTTCACAACATACTATCCAAATAATAAACAGGGCACAGCAAATTAAAATAGGGATGAACAAAACAGAGGAAACTTTAAGACTAGTTTTAACCACTTGCTGTAGATACAGGTATTTTTTAAATGGTGCCCTAAGGTTTCCTCTAGCAATTAAAAATGAAAGTGCTGTATATACTTATATATTTAATTGTTGTATGAAGTAGAGGGATTAAAATGATGGTGGTACTTCCATTCAGCAAAGTACACTGTTGGAAGAGGAGTGAAGCCTGTATTAACTTTACAGTCAGTTTTACAATGCAGGAAGAGTAGAGATTTGTATTTTTTTTTATTTTGCATATAGAATTAATTGTAAGGATTTGAAAGTGTTGAGCATTTATTTTGCTTTCTCACCATAGATGCAAAACCAAGATAGGTATTGATGAAAAGGGGCCACTGAAAAGTAAACTTGATAGCTCAACATTTTAGCATGATTGATTAAATATTCAGATAGCTTTTTTGCTTCCTATAAATATATGCATTGTATACGTGTAGTTAATAGGTGTAAGTTTACAGTTTGAAAACAAATCTCTTGTTTTGATGTTTATTACAAGCCTTGCTAATTTAGTAGTGACGCTTACCTTGGTTGTACAGATGTACATTTGTAAACCTTCATGCTGTAAATGTAATTTGTTTTACCCCTTTTTGGGACAAAAATTTGCATTTTAGTGTATATTCATATCTCCATTCCCTCTTCTCCCCCCGGCATATAGTGTTGTATAATGTAAATTTATTTCAGCAAATCAAGAGTGATTTTTTAAATTTTATCTTTATATGGTTTCAGAAATACGAAATGGCTTTCTTTTTATCTCTAGTTTATAACATAGCTGTTGATTCTGTTAATATGGACACTTGGGGAAACCAAGTCTGTTCAAATTCTAAGGATAATAAGCATAGTAAGAAATTGACTGAAATACTTGGTTATCACAGAAACTAATGCTTCTTCCATCTTAATAAATGTGGCTTTTTTTTTTTTTTTTGTACAGAAGAGTACTGTATTTTTGAATAGCCTTCTCCCAGCATAAAGCAAATATGTATGATACTGTCAATTTTTTTCTCTGGACATATGACATTATAACAGTAACATAAAGATGATGTACATTTACAAGCGGCCTTATGTACATTTCCCAATGATCTTTTTAAGGCAGAACTGTGACCATATGTGTATAATTAAAATCCTTTTTAATGCTTTGCCTATGGAAATATTTTGGAAAAAAGCTTACTTTGTATATTCAGTTTCTGAAAGATAAAGAAAGTGCTTTGTACGTTGTTGAAGTAAGTATTTTGTGTAAAACATTCATTTGGATGGCTTAACCTAAAGTTTTGATCAACCAAGACAGTTTGAATACAATGTCTTGAGCATTGATCAAATAAAAAGGTGTTACGGTAGGGTTTGATCACGAGGAAGGAAAACAGTAGTGGTATAAACTTGTATAAGGAATTCTTGTGTTACTGCTTTTACCAGGTTTACATAACTTGTATTAAAGCATACATCTGAGGCACTGCATTTTTTAATTGTAGTGTTGACTCATCAATAGGCAAATGGGAAAGTTTGTTCTGGCCTGCTTCCAGTTTCTGAATCTGTCCTTTAGTGCCCACATGGAGGGGCCTGATTATTCTTGGTAAGCACAATTGGAATTGCCAAGTAGATTTTGCATGGCAGTTCACAAAATTCCCCTCGAGAGGCACAAGCTCTGTCATTGGAGCCAGAGCTTTCCCCTGATCACACAAAAGGTGATTTTGAGCCACTTCCCTTGGACACATTAATTCTACTCAGTGACTCTGTATTCTGTGTAGAAAGGCTGGGTGTTGTAATCCATAGAGCTGACATTCCCATCAACTCGTAAGTTGGGCTTTCAGGGATGTCCAGGCAGAAACTAAAAATGTCCCAGTACTTTGTCCCTGTAGCACTCATGCCATGGTTAAATTTAAACAGTCCTGTAACTGTCACCATTAGTGCTTTAAGTATTTTGAACATAATCTTCCACATGTTAAAATCATTTTGCAGAAATTCCATCCAGGAATGTGAAAAGCACAGGGTTTCCTTTCTACTATTTTAGGCTTTGGGGTAGAACCACTAGAATTTTTGCTCAAGTACTGCTTTTTGATATAGATTGTTTATGGACCAGTTTGATTAGGTTTGACTCCAGGTGGCTTATATTGAATAATGTAATGTTCACGTGCATATACTGTAAAAATCAAAATGAAAATGTGTGAATAACACTGTGTGAAATACATCTGGTTTTGTGTTTTTCCTGTAGGAAACCAGCCATTCTTTATACTTTTACATGACTCGTCTGCTAAATGTGGAGCTCAGCTTTGAGAAGTCACTGATTTATAGTGAGCTGGTGGAAACCAGTCAGTTACTGAAGAATCCTGTGTTCTATCATTAAGTTCCCATAGGTCAGTTCTGAGCACCTAAATCCTCAGATTGTCTTACAAAATGTCTTTACAGGTGTACAGTTAAGGCTCCAGCCTGATGACAGCTTCTCTCTACACTACTTGATCCAAGATGAGTTCTTGAGCATTTGAGAGGGCAAAGATGGTGTGAGCTCTGAGAACTGATTTTAGCTTCAGGTGTCAGAGTGGTCTGACTGCAGGGGGAGTGAGTCTGCTTCTTGGTATTAAACTAACTCAGCTATCCAACTGGCCCCTTCTGGAGAGAACAGCCATAATGCTATGACCTCCATCCCTGATTGCTAGATCCACTGATGCCTCTTCGTCAGAGTATGGGGAAGATTGAGGCGTCTTGAGATCATAATGCCTTAGTGGCTTAGAGTGCTGATGGAGACTGAGACCAATGTAGATACTCCTTTTCCCTCTGCTCTAAGGAACAGGCATTTGAAGAGATGCTCTGACTCACTGTGTAGTAGCATGGTAATTAGGTTGATCTGTCGATCAGTTCCCTGAAAATGTTTGATGTTCAGTATACTAGGAAAGTGGGTAAACACCAAGGTCACAATTCCCATTGTGTCATTCAGGGAAATAAAGCTGAGAGAATAACTGCAAAAGTGTTTTAAGATCTAGTGACTGGTCATTAAAACTGTATATTGCATCTAAGTCATGCACCTGGAGAGAGAACCCAATGTGAACTTGTCAAAAGCAGTTTGCTGCTGAGTGGTTGCAGTTGAGTCAGACATGGTGCTCCAATGCTGAAACTTGTGGTGCCTGGTCATTGTGCATCCCAACAGCAGCAGGTTGTTTTTAGTTTAGTGATGATGCAGTTCTGTGTTGCTGCTTGAGGAAGGAAAGTGAAGAAGCACGTACTGTATCTGATCTCAGCTGTCCCAGCCCACAACAGGGTGGGAACATCTGTCAATTTAACACAATGGTTCACGTCATACCAAGCTAGTGGTAGCATTTGAAGTTATCCCAGTGTCTCATTAGTCAATGGGCAACACTGATGTTTTGATAAATGTGTGCTACAGGTAATGCTTTACTCTGTCTTGAATAGTTTGAAGCATTTCCTGTAATTGTAAACAATATCAGAACACTTGCAGGCACTCTGCCCAAAGATTTCCAAATCAAGTTCTTCTTGGCTTGAGGATGAGGAAACTTGGTTCCTGTCAGAGATACAATGTCCCTCTTGGGGCTCTGCTTGGGTCCTCAAGGGCTAGTGTGTAGAATTGGGCTAGGGAGGTTTGGGAGAACTTCACAAATGCAGATTCTGCTGCAGTGTGAGTGATGTTGCCAAATGAGCCTGGGCTGTCAGCGCTCCTGTGTGGCAGAGCAGCCCAGGCCTCCCTCTTTCCATCATCAGATCAGGTTAGAAACCAGCACTGTTACCATGGAAAGACCAGTCATAGGACAGGATGACCATCAGGTGTTGACAGCACTCCAGAGCCAGTACAGGTGTCGTGGTTTAACATAGGGGCTTTTCCCTGCTACTGCAATGCCCATGTCAATGAGATGAGGCAATTGCTTCTACCTAAGAGTGAATCAAATCCCAAGATTCTATATTAAGTTTCAGAACACAGAGGCTATCAGGAAGCTGCCACCCTGCATGGGGCAGAGAGCCGGTAGGGAAGACCAGTGTGCTTAACCAACTGCTGGTGTTCCTTGGTGAGGTGGTGCAGGAATGTTTCCTCCTTTGGACAGAGCCCGCTTCTTCTGCGTGCCAGCTCCTAAGTGAGGGAACTTGCCCAGCAAATGAGGTGCTTGAACTAGTTTCCTTTATCAGCCTCAGGGTTCTGAACCCACCTCCCTCACTTCAGAGGACTATGTTCTAATCACAGGGAGCTGGGCGGGTTCACTTTCTACTCCTGAATTTGGGCTGGGCTTTTAACAGGGCTTCAGGTGTTCCTTGCATCACAAACAGCACAAGATGGAGCATGACTCCTGAAGCATGCAAGTGGAAGTGGGTAAGCTTCTGCTCTCAAGATCCTTGTCTCCACCTCAATTTTCCCAGGCTCAATGCAAAATAGCTCTTGTGAGCAACATTCCCCCATCGTTAATGAACGAGAAATGCTCCAGAGGCTTTTTATATAGCAGCTGAAATGTGGGAAGACCTAGTCTAAAGACCCTCTTTGTTACATTAATAAGAACAGACATAGGAATAAAATGTGCACCCTCTCACCAGCACTGCTCATCTGGGCAGAAGAGGCCTTCTGCCTCTTCCTTCTCTGCTTGCATGAACCTACCCAATCCTCAAGTGTCTGTATCTGCAAGAAGAGTCAGGGGCACATTGCAGGTGACACAGCTGATGTATTAGAGCATGGGACAGGGAGAAGCCCCTTAGCACCCTGAGCTGAGCAGCCCTAATCAGCTTCCTTCGAACCTCAGACCTGCCTGGAGGGTTCAGATTTCCTGGCAGCCACATGCCACTGCAGCCCTTCCCAGCTCCGCTGCTGGATCCATTCCCAGCCAAGCCTGAGGGGGACGGGGGGAAGAGAACCCTCCCCTGGTACAGCAGTGCTCACGCTCAGGGCCTCTCCAGGGAGCACAGCAGCCACTGTCTGCTGAGCACACACAGGTTCACACACTGCTGCTGCACAAACACTCGCATCGGTTGTTGGCTGCAGGTCCATGGAGCTGCCACTGTGGTGCAATGTCACTGGTGGGGACTGGGGAGGAACTGACCAAGCTGCTGAGGCCCCTCTCCTCACAGGTCAGGTGTGCTGTGCTCTCTCAGGCTGAATGACCACAGTCTGCTCCCATCAAAGGGCTTTTGAGAGCCATTTCACATGTCAAAGTAGGTCCCAAAATGAAGCAGTATCCCAACAGATACAGAGCTGCTTACTGAGGTTCAATGGAAGCTACAAGAAGTGGGAGTGTTACAGCAGGGGTGACACACAGGAAAGTGGTGGTAGAAAGCATCAGCCAGCCTGGGCAGCGAGGGAGATGATGGCAGAAATCACACTCACAGATGTATTTTCTGCTCCCATGAGTGC